GGAACATCTGAAAATGACGAAATCATGTGAGCAGTTTCGTAGGACACCATGAGTAGAGCTGAAAACTCATAGATTATAAAAACTGTGATCACTGCTACACACTGTAAGATGTCAGAAGGTCGAAAACAACTGGCTCAAGGTTTAACTATGTGTTGAATTTTAAAAAGTTTGTTATAGTATCTACTGTGTCAAATCTTCACCTTTGAGTAAAATTAATGTCGGATTAATGTAGTGGACCTAAAGTATAAAGTAGTATGAACTAGAAACACTCAATAAAGTATTTGTATTCATATACAGTACTTAAATAAACTTAGTTCTTTCCACCACTGCTGCAGTGCATCTTGAGGGGCCTTGATGTTCGCTGAATACAAACGAGACCTAATGTATGACATATATGAATGAGTGCTACATGTTGGAAGAGTTTCGTCTGCAGATTATGGACACACATGAGCACAACTACTGTAAGAGGTCATAAGTCCACCACAGAGTTGAGACGTATGTAGCAGCTGGCATTATGTTCTGAGGCATCCGTTTGCTCACAAAACAACTTTCTTCAACTGTCTTTTTGCTGTTGTGTGTAGCCCTTCAGTGTTGAGAACTATGTTAGGTTTTAAATTAAATCACAGCATATTTTTATTATCTCATCGTCCAAACTTTCCGCCTGTGGCCTGCAGTAACGGTAATATAGCACCCTGTGGTACTAGAACAGACACCCTAAAGAGCCTACCAATGTTTATGTGCACTGTAAGAACAGAACTGATACACAAAAGTCAGAAAATAAGCACGGTTTATGTTCTGTAAATTCCCAGACTGCCCCTCCACCTTGTTGATAGGAGGAGGAGGAGCTGTCTGAGGAGGTGCAGGATTAAGGAGAATATACATCTTAAAAAATTAGAACATGGTGGAAAAGACGCCCCTCTCCCCAGAAACTTTGTCCAGTTTATCCTGGATGTTCCAGAGGTGTTCCCAGGCCAGAGGAGATGTATGATCCTTCCAGAGAGTTCTGGTTCTTCCTTGCGGTCCCCTCCCAGTTGGATGTGCCCAGAAAACCTCCAAAAGAAGTTGCCCAGGAGGCCTCCTGACGAATCACCTCAACTCGTTCCTTTAGATGCAAAGAAGCAGCACCTCTACTCTGAGCTCCCTCTGGATGTCCAAGCTCCTCACCCTATCTCTAAGGCTGAGCCCTGCCACCCTATGGAGGAAACTCATTCTTGCCACCTACATCCACTATTTCATTCTTTTGGTCGCTACCCAGAGTTCACGACCAAAGCTGAGGGTTGGAGCTAAGACAGACTGGTAAACCGAGAGCTTCGCCTTCCAGCTCAGTTTCTTCTTCACCATGACAGTCCAGCACAATGCCCACATGACTGCTGATGCGGCACCAATCCGTCTGTTCATCTCACGCTTTGTTTTCCCATCACTCATAAACAAGATCACGAGATGGACATTAACAACCTACATAGATTTTCATTGTGCCTGACCCATAGTGTTCAGCACACAACCTGGAACCCAGCGTACGACCTCCTACAGTCATAAATTAGCAAATATCTCACACCCTGTCATTCCCTAAAGCTTACGTCTTGTTCCCTGACATCTACAAGTAAACCAGTCTGTCTGATTCATGTTACAATGTTTCACTTTTTATCTGGTTTATATTAAGAAACTAAAGAAAAAATATTATTTCCTTCATTCATTTGTTGTGTACCAACACCTGTACAATACAGTTTCACAGCTACCATTGTTACTGCAGTGGTAGAAGTACAGCATCAAATATTGTACTGGATGATGATGTCACTTTATTCTGCCCAATTTGGTTTGAGGTTCAGACAGAATAAAGACAGGTTATTGGTTTGAACATTTAACTGTATATATAAGCAAAAAGATGATAAATCGAGACATTAAAAAGACGGCTTAGGTCCCTTGTGCAACAACAAATAGTTGTATTTTATTGCGACAGCGCCTGCTAGTGGCTGTAGTAGTTATGTGGGGACTAAAAGAGAAGAGGGCCAGTGGTGTAGTCATTTTTTGTTTTAAACTGCTGAATGTTTTAAACCGTGAGAGTCCCAAAACCTCACGTATGTTTTTATTCCATGACAGCAAAAGTCCTCTATTTTATTCCAAAACCAGATTTTTGCCTAAATCAAAGTGTTTTGTATCTAAACCTTAATGAAAAACAGGTTAAAATATGTGTGCTGTTCTCTGCTGCTGTGGGTCACATTTAGAGTGCAGGAGACAAGAGACCAACATGGCGGCTGAGGTTGGAGGACCAGTTGGAAAAACTCTTGTCTTTATGTGTATGCAAGGTTGACAAATGAGGAAAGTGAGACGAAGGAGAAAAGAGGAAGGAGGTGAAAAAAAAGAGAGGATTAATGTCCTTTCTGTCTTTTGTCTCAACTCAACTTTCACCACTTTAGCTGCTAACCGCCGTCATCTCCCCCTACATCTTCTTCCCTCGATCCTCCCATCATCCCAGCTGCATCCCAAATCATTCACCATCCCTCCATCATCTATCCACCGTTCCACTCACCTTCTCGTTTCTCTTCCAGGGCAGTGTGGTGGTTGTTTCTTCATCTGCAGACGGGTTCACTCCACGTGTTACAGTTCCTTCCCAACAAACACCGGCAAATCATTTTTTAAACATTTAGGAAAAAAACAATGAATAAAGATAAATCAGTCATGCTAGTATTTTATCAGGTTGTGAAAAACAAAGATAGCAGAAATATGGCTGCTCTTAAGAGAACTTGAGAGCATAGCTTTCAGATGTTTATCTCCTGCAAACTGAAGAGCATCCTTCATCTTCACCTGAACAAAATTTAAAGTAACTGCAGTCTGTTGGATTCAGCTTTCACACTGCAGAGAAATATCACCCTCTAGTGCCTCAAGCTTAGTACTGCATCTTACTGCTACACCCTCTGATATAGTTCAGTCATTTTTAAAATCATCTGTCATCATGTGAGAGGCATGTCTGTAACTGAACACACACAGCTGTCCCAAGTATTTCAAAGCTGCACGTTCACATTGTTTAAACCTAAAATGATGAGATATACATTGAAATAATTAAAAGGAAACTGCATTAAATCTTCACATAGGAGTAGCGAGAAGCATGAAATATCTGAAGTTTATGCATCACATGTTTTGTATTTAACAATCTCAATAAGTAAAGTTAGTAAAGGTGTCAAATAATTATAGTGGGAAACATGTACATGTACTTCTGATGCCGCACAGAACATGTTTGTGTACCAGGACATTAACTTCAAACTAAAAGACAAAATTGAAGTCCTGGAGCAGCAGGTGAAAGACCTCCAAGAGGAAAAGACAGAGCTGGTTAAGAAAGTCAATACTGGCAAACTCGCAGACTCGCCTGCAGTCCAGCAAGGAGAAGGCAGAAGAGGAGAAAGCTGTTGGCCCTCCGTGAGGAAACCCGACAAATGGAGAAAAAGAACAAAGAGCTCCAGGAGAAGAACAACCTCCTGGAAGCAAACAACGCACACCTCCAAGAGCAAAAGGTGGAGCTGGAGATAAAACATCTGGTGGTGGAGGAGGAGGAGGAGACAGTCCTGGAGCTGGACAACCAGGAGCTCCAAGATCTCCTGGTCAAGAACTCAAGATGGAGACTTTTCACGAGACTGACAGAGGAGGAGAGACAAGAGATCAAAGAACTGAAAGAAAAGAAAATGAAAGAGAAGAAAGAGAAAGAAAAACGAGAGCAGAAAGAGAAGGAACAAAATGAAAAAGAGGAGAAAACGAGGAAGAGAAGGGGCTGGTTCTTCTGAACAAGTCTACCCCATCTTCCCCTCCTCTTGTCCTCACCCTTTCTTCCTCCACCATCACCGTTCCATCATCTCCTCCAGCCTCAACCAACACTCCATGCATTCTCTAATGTCACTAGATTTTGGCCATGAGATTGGATTGATCTTGAAAATAAATTGTTCAAGTGTTCTGAAGTTGGATTAGATTAGAAAATCCAGTCTTGGTTTTGATGCAGATCAAACATTGTCTGTGTGTTGAAAACTTTCTAGCAGGATTGAGGTGATCCAAACTATCAGAATTATCCTGATCGCAGCAGAAGGCTGAATTTAAGCTGGATTTGTAATTTGTCAAGTGATACAACATTTATATGATGTAGTATATATACACACATTTATCTTTATCTTGTGCTTGATATATAACTGTTAAAGTGATAAAATTCACATTGAGCTACAGCTGGATGTTCAGTCTGTACATGAACATTGTAGTTTAAATCGATTTATATTACCCATGACATTTTATAATAACTGAACAAAAAACCCCTCCAGTTATTTTCATAGTTTTATTGAAACAACAATGGTGCCAAAAATTGCCCATTTACAATGACATCAGATAAAAATGTGAGAAATATAAAAACATCAAAGCAACCGATTTTGACACAACGCAGAAAACCTGAGGATTAAATACTCTTCCACACTACAGCCTCGCCTGAACATGTGACTGAAACAAACGAGATGTGGTACACGGTCACGTCCCTCATCCAACCGCCCGGCATGTCAGCAAGTGTCAGAGGACTAACTAGTTCTGTACGACAAGGACCAGCTAGCAGGAGGTTACGGGTTTCAAGATCCCTCGAGGCAGAAGCAAGAGAAGGGAAACTACCACTTTAAAGCACTTATAGACAGGTCTAACATTTATTCTAATTTTTGCTTCCATGTTACCAGATGAACACGGTTGAATGGGACTTCTTCATTACTCGATATTGAAAATGATGAATACAAACAACGAGGTGTCTCAAAGATAAAACAAACAACAGAAATAACCAACTTTAGTTTTGTTGAGTTTCATGTTAGTTGCCATTTAACAGTAAGAACTAACAGGAAAATAAATAAAAGACTGCATTAATGAGAGTGCTTGATTCCAAAAAGGAAATTGGTTTGGCAGTGCAAAATCTTGAACTGGGAGCCTCTACGTTTTGTTTTTTGGTAAAAGCAGCAGAAGTTTTTGGCAGCTGCACAGCAAGCTTCAAATGGATGTTTACAGGGATCTATTTTCGTGCAGTGTAGGAGATGATGCCTTGTTTTTTTTTTTCTTAGTGTGCTTTGATTCAAATGCAAAATAGTTTTGGAACGAAGCTCCTAAAAAAAGAAAGATTTCAGCGCAAAACTCCATTTACTGACTGGCATTCAGGATCTCATTAAACTGATTCTTGAGTGTCCAAGTCATGTTTTTTTCTCCCCCCTCAAAAGTAAAGATGACTTTGGGATGCTGAAATGTGTAATTTAGTTGTCAGTTAATTAGAAGACTGAAATGAATTTAAATGGAGGCATCTTAATAGGGAGTAATTTGGACAAATAATGTGGTCACTGGCTTCTTCCCTGTAAACATCTCTTCATCTGAATTGGAACTGTGGTGCCAAGTGTTGCACAAATGAACAGATATGAGACTTTTTTTTTCCACAGCTGCACAACAACAGAGAAACAACCGATTTTTTAAAACTAGTATTTAAAATTTCTTTTTTATTAAATTTGATTCCCTGATTTTTTTTTTTTAAATCTAAGTTTTCAACCTAACTGAACATATCAAAGGACTGTTAGTACATTTATTTTTTTAAAGATATGGCACAAAACACACAAGATGTCAAATCATGTTAAGTGCTAAATATTCCAGACAAACAAATCGGAAATTAAACATCGCGACTCCTTCTTCTTAAGTGTGGATTTTTCACCGTGAACAAAGAAAACCCTTGAGTGAACATTTGGAAGGACATGATCACAGTGAACACCGATACAAATTACAAGTATATTTATAGAAAACAGAACTCTCATCTCTACTGATTTGCTCTACAAAGTAGCGTATGCCACCAAATCACGACGAGGCAGACGATGTGCGTCTCAAAAGCACTAAAACTGCACCAAAACGGACGAGTGCACGGAAAAGCTGATCACTTCCACCACTAGTAATTGTACAAATTCAAACACACGTCGAGACATTCAGTGCAAGTACATTCACATTGGGAACAACGGCGGTGCCTTTGCAGAGCATGTTCGCTTATGACTGTGTGCTCGCCTGAGGGGCGAGCGTGATTGGTCCCTAATGAGCTTATCTTTAGTATCTAGTTGTTAGAAAGTCTTACTGACATGTTGAGGAATTCAGCGAGTCGACTCACTCGCGCAGAACCAGTGAAGTTACATTCACTGTAGGCCTTTGTGGCTCGGCCGAGCGCTGAATGGGTTTGGCAGGTCTGAATGATGTGCTACATACAGGAGAAAGCAGAAAGGCACGGCAGCTGCTTCGCCGACAGGAGGGGAAGGGGGAGGCGAGAGCAACGACAGAGGGACACGGGACAAAAGCAACAGCAGTATAAGACACAGTCGTCAACATAAAAAAAGGCATACAATGAAAGAAAAGAAAACTGCACTTAACGAGCGACACCAAAAGCTGGTGTTTCTGCATCATCACAACGTTTGGAATCTAATCAGTGTAGGTGACTCTTGAGACAGCACAGATAAATCATGTTAGTTACAGTTACGAATCACTCTGAGTGCAACTGAAAGTAACTGGTAACAAAAACTGAACTCAAACATTAACAGAATGTCAGGCCTACATGAATGCCATGACTACACACCAGCACACAGAAAACGTTTTCAATCACAGTTGTGGCAAAAGAATTCCCCTTCTCTGGTTTTATCCACTTCAAAAATCTTCATCAGATCAAGCAACACCTTAAATTGAAGGATACGTCCGGTGAGGTTTTATATTGATGAGTGTACACCATTAAGAAGTATCGTGTATTCAAAGGCTGATATATCGTATTCCTCTGTGCCAAACAGCTTGATTGTTGTCCTGAACACACTGCTGGATGACACCGTTCTTCAGTACATACACCCTCCAGCTGCTAGGACACCAAATGTGTTCAAGCCTGCCATGAAAGTAGTCCCCAACCGATGCTCTATTCACTTTTGGCAACATTTGCTAAAACCTGCAGCACCAAATCGTTTTTGAAAATGACGGGGGTTTAAACACTCGGTGCCACAAACAGCACATCTGAAAAAAAATGGCTCTTAAAATATTCGAAACAGAAACCATAAGAAACCCACATGTACTTTTATATGCAGAATTAACATTCAAATGGTCGCAAGATTTTTTATTTTTTATTTTTGCTAGTCCATGTGTGGTTGACTTTAGTTCACAATAGTTTTATCAATTTCAAAAGTTTGTGGACTCTGTGGTCAGAAATATTCATACGACAAATAACCAAACGTCAACACACAGTTCAGAGACACGAGACAAGTCCCCCTCAATAACCTAAATACTGCACCACCATACAAAAAAAAAACAAGCTTGAAATTCCTGTTTGAATGCCAAAGACATCTTATTACCCCCTGCTGCACATAAACAACCACATAAACTCAACTGTATGGTTAAACTATGCGTCTGTGTGTCCACAATGAAAAAAAAATCAATGAATATTAAGCATTTGTTTCCTCCCTTGATGCTAATTTTGTCTGTTTAGCACTTTTTATCTCACGATCACCTCATGAAGTGTTTGTGTAATTGCATTTAACCAGTCAACCCTTCTGCACTGCATCCGCTCTGGCACATAAACACAGACTGGGTTTGTGACATGGAGGTTTTTGGATCAAACGTTACTATTAAGGACTCGCTTCCTGTTGAACTTTTTCATGCAGCGCTGTTTTATCATAACTGGAGTTCAGCACAGTCAGGACTTCATGACGCTGATCAACAGAAGAGCTACTTCATACATTTATATCTGGAGATGTGTAAGTGACAAATTATAACATTTCTGATGTAAAGTTGATTTCAATAGCAACAATCTGTATGCATTTTATTTAAAGGAGGAAAAAAAAATCATATATACTGGTCAGTCAGCTGCTGTTTTGTTCAAACCAAAGTTATGCTACAGTCAGTTAAACTAAATACTTGTAAGGAATGAGGTGACATTATGCTCTGACCAGGGAGTTCAGAGTTTCATCTGAACTGACGGGTGAGAATAATATTTCTGATTTAAACAAAAAAACCAAACAAAAGAAACTGTGTTCTGAATCAGGAAGTAAGGCATGGTTGATGTTGGAATGAGCACGGTGAGAGAGAACAGGTAAACATGGGGGGGCTGAGTTGGACTACTTCTCAAATTCCCAGCTGCTTTCCTGCTTTTAAGCGCTTGGCTCATCTCTATACAACAGGGAAATGTGTGGCTATTATTTCTGTCCACAAGACTTTTAGATGCTTATTTTAAAACAAGCCCCGAGGCCGTTAACAGTCACTGTTGCCAATAGTAAGTGAATGAATGCACGAGTGACCTCACATCGCGAGTATCCGGTACAAGACGCACGTTTTTCGTAAAATAAATACCGCTCTCAAGTTTGACGACGCTAATGAAGCTGTTTAGCTACACCTGCAGAGATCATGGAACATCCCTCGTCTGTCTACTGGGAGAGATTCTAGAGGTTGAACATAAGCCTTTTCTAGTGCAACCCTTCTTTTTGCAGCAGCTGTGTGTTGAAAAAAAAAAAACAAGGAGAATGTAAACATGATTGCTTTGGATTTTTTCCTATGGAATGAATGCATGACACTGCCGTTGGTTCGGTGGCGGTGCTACATCAGACAACAAGTAACGGGTACAGCTCTAAGTCATTGCTAAGCAGTAGGCAGTGTAGGAGTTTACAGCATTGTGACCGCAGCGAACAATGCCACTGTTGACACGAGGAACAAGAAAATCAAAAAAAATAAAATTAGCACATGTTAACAGTAACACCCTGTTGAAAATCTCTAATATCAGTAGCTTCACTGGGTTTTTTTTTTTTTTTTGAGTTCTTGCTCCCTGAAGGCAGAGCTATAGATATACAGAGTAAGGCAAACATGGTTTCGGGTCAATCTAACGGAGCCATATTCGCACCAAATGTTCCAAGGCCATTACATCGTCTCCTTTTAAAACCAAGTGTAATTGCCGTGGAGCTTTTAGCGCTAACATAGAGCAGGCAGTTTCCCAGGCTATGTATGTCTATGGCTCTGCTCCATGGCAGCTCCATACAGAAAGTCTTCTCCGTACAAATCTGTCTCAACCGGCTTCGCTGAGTCATGCTGTGGATTAGAGAGAGGCATGTTATGGTGGAGATGGAGACTGAGACCAGCCAGATACCGTCAGAGAAGACAACACGAGGCCAGAGGGACGAGTGCTGCCAACAAGAAGTAGGACACTCTGTAGAGGTGAAGCGGAGAGAAGGTCACCATGGTGATGGCCAAGGGGAGAGGGAGGCAGGAGGCCAGAGGCAGGAGTTTACTGCAAAGGATTAGGAAACGGTTGGATACCTGTTAGGACAGCAACGCTCATAGGGAGTGTGTGTGTGTGTGTGTGTGTGTGTGTGTGTGTGTGTGAGACCGTTCATACCTGTTGCTGAGTTTTAAAGTGTTGCAGTTAATGAGCAGCATGTAGACAATAATTAGAGGCACAATGTGTGGCCAACAAGGATCAGGATCCAACTGGGCGGAGTACCTGCACAGGAGCACCACACGGGTTAAACTACAACAACAGTTTCCAAATACACCACCTCATTTTAGCATATGTTTCATAAATGATACAGATAAATCGTCCTCAATACAGGGAATTGGGTTTTATTGAGGGTATTTTTAAGACTGAGTTTAGGTAAACTAGGAACTCGCGCAATAACTGATAACAGGGAAAGTCCTGTTTTCAGCTCGACTCCAGAAACAAATCAGAGTTCAAGATTAGCTACACAGCTGCAGCGCAGGAGCCGGTAGAGATTCAGCAGCTGTATTCATCAAACATTGAAGATGCATTAAGGGTCATTCCATCTTAAACCATCAGGGGCCTTTCTGCTCACCATCCTTGATTTGCTTGAAACTTTGAAAATGATAAACTATGGATACTTAGAATGGCATCTGTGACATTGTAGCTTTAATTACTAAGTGCTTTCCAAGATAATTTATTTTTACATAGACAATTTTGGCCTTTTCTTTTTTATTTTTCCTTTTGTTCTTGTTTTGGGTTCTTTAATATTTATCCAATATGGTCACTATTCTTCATCGTCCAATGTTTAATGTTTCATTACCCATAACCCTGATCGTTGATCGTGTGGCGCTTGGTGTTGTATTTCTTCTTAATACAAAGTATAGTGTGCTTTTTGCTTTTTAATATTTGGTCATTGGTCTGAAAAATGGTGTTATTTTGTTCTTTCATATTTTCTTGATCTGTTGTTCTGTTTTTTCTTTTATTTTCCTTTTCTTACAGCTTCTGGTTCTGGTCTTACAAGTTTATAATCAAATGGAATTCAAACCAAGAGAATCCATTTTCTATAACTTCACTCTATTCACTTTCTAAGGAACTGGTGGGTACATTAGGTCCGTTGCTTTGCTTAATTTGTCTTTGGTCATTTTACCCGTATTCAGAGTGATTGGTCTACTTTTCGGGCTTTTATCTTTTTTGAGCTTCAAATGGCAATGCCCGAAAGAAAAACATGCCACAAGTAGGTCAAAGGTGAGTTTTGTGTTTTTTTTTATTACCTCAGAAAGTATTTGATGTTTCAAGCTAAAATTTTTACAAATATCTTTAAATAATTATTATAACATTTATGATGCAAAAACATGCAAATAAAAGACGGTCAAAAAGAAATTGTTCTAGAAACGATGATGGTTTGAGGTGGAATGACCCTTAAGAGATGCAGGCATAGAATGTGACACTTTGTAAACTGAAATAAGCTAATTTTAGCACATTTAATGTAACATGTATCTGGAACAGCAGGGAGGGAAAACAGACAGTATTATTTCAACTTCATATACTACTTAGCTGGAGGTGTAAATGTCTTTTTGTGTGCATTTTGTCAAAGTTAATATAAAACTAAGTTACAGCTTGCTAAGCCATACAATATTTTTTCTGCTTGATGAGCCAGAAGACAAAGGCTTTCTATATAAAAACAACAATTTCATCTGTTGGCCTCTTCAGTATATACTTTAGAATCACATCATGTTACAAGCTAAGCCTGCAGCTGTGGGATGACAGGAACACTTCAGGTAACTGGAACTTGCAATCGACTTGATTTGTATCAGTGGTTTTAACAAATCAGGTACTTAATTTCAGGTTGTTTTGGTCATTCTGCTTTAGCGTTTAAAAGTAAATATATAGTGCAATCAGCATTTTTCTGCATAAAGAAAAATAAGTGTACTTGACAAAAGACAGGCAGAGACACCTCAGCAGAGCAGCTGTTTGCTCTGTTCGCCTCATAAGAGAACACGGTACCTCAGGTTGCGGATCCAGTGGATAAGCGAGGGTGCGCTGAGCATGACAGGTAGCGTGAAGAGCGCCGATAGGCAGAGGTGGAGCTGAAGGTCCTCCCTCACCTCCTGCAGAGCGCACTCAGACAGAAGGGGGGCGCCGCTACATTCTTTAGTCTTTCTCAAGGATTCAGTATCGATTGTGCCATTTTCCGTCTCTTTGTGCTTCCGGGGTGCCTGGAGTTTGTGGAGCAGTGGATTAATTTTGAGTGTTCATTGACCCCCAGATACTAGTCGTGTTAAAGTGATATAGGTAAACCTGAGTATCTCACCAGATTCAGCATGTGACTTAAGGACCTTTCTGTCATCTGCAGCCTTAGTACCTAAGAGCAACAAGAATAGGCAGCACAACAGTGTGAGACTGGCTGCTGGCAACATGTTGATGAGCGAATAGTGTAACACTGCAACTTAGCCTATACTTTAAAACAGAGAGGGTCAGCACATTTTTAGTTTGTACAGTCTAACTGTGAAACAAACGCCTCCATTACATTCAATACCTGCTGAGAAGCTGAGATCAGCTAGGGTTACAGATTCAATATAAGGCATGAAAACTGGTTTAATTGTTGATGCAAAGTAACTGTATTCCAACAAGGTTTACCCTATAAAGGTGGAACAGAAAGGAGACAAAGATTGACAACGCCCCACAGGATGTCGCGCCCATAACAGTCAGACCCCCAGTGATGAGGATCTGGGTTCGTAGTCTCAAGGTGCCACAGTCCCTCGACACAGACGGTCTGCAGACGCAAATAAAATGAAAACAAGTGTGAGTGATCAAGAATGCCAAAAGGCCAACCGTTTACATTTTGAAATTACACACGTCTATAAATAAATGTTTGGGTCTACCTGTGCAGTGGAGCTAATATTAATGAGATCAGTCGTATGATGAGACGGAGCAGCGTGCTGCCCCAGTATGCCACGGCTGCCCCCAAGATGTAGAGCAGAGGGGAAAGAAGGTGGGGCCATTCTTCAGCTGGTGGGACTCCTTCATGAAATGTCCCATCAGGGAAAGTTGGGGTGAGTGTATCCATCGGTGGGAGGTAAAGAAAGGACCGCACCTCGTGAAAACAGCTACAGCTGAGGAGGAACAAGGGAAAATAATTCTGTGTGTTTTGAGAACATCTGGCAATCTTTCTATGACATTCCAATTAAAGTAAGAGGACGATGTGATGTGATAGGAAGGTGCTGAAAAGGGTTGCAATTGATGTCAAAGTTCTGTTTCCATTTTTCAACAATGAGCTCCCAAAATCGTACCTCAGGAAGATGTGCAGAATATATACAGGTATGTTGACTTTGTGAGGCTGCAGGCCTTTGGCTACCACCAGGCTCATGGCTGCAGCTCTTCTCGATTTCCAGATGGAGGACAGCTGCCCCCCACAGGCCAGGAGGAGGGTAACAGCGGTGTACACTGGCACCATGGGACCACAGAACCTCAGAATCTGCCAGACAGGAAAGAGCTGATTAGACCAGGGCTTTCTCCATCTGAAGCACTGCTCATGAAGAACAATAAATGTATGTAAAGTTGGTATTTTTGTTTAAAGATATTTTAAAGTGTTTGAGCAGCAATGGTTTAAAAGATCTTGTTTGTTTGCCGTCATACCTGCCCCAGAACCTTGGGTAATGAAGCTCTAATCGACACCTGAATCACAGGATAAATCATTAAGTTAAAATGTTAAAATGATGATTAAAAAAAATGTTGGTCACAAAAACTTCCTCAGGATGGAGGAGGCAGGACTTAATTCAGTAGCTAAGGAGTTGTACCTTATACTGGCAGTTGGGAGCAGTGTGGAGCTGCAGGAGGACACCTGAGGTATTGTCTGGACGACTTGTATGTAGCATCCCTGAGATTTCTGTCACTGACGGCACACTGGCAGATAGATCACATCAAGTTATGTCAGAACAGGTAAATATGACGTGTAAATGTGGCAGCAGCTTAGAGACAAACACTTTTAAAACTCACCTGACTGTAGTTAAAGAGTCCTCTCGAAACCACGGCACTTTTATCCTGTACACATTTGGCAATCTATCTGCAGACAGACACCAATATTTATTATTATCACATGTCAGCATGTGCTCCTGTGTGTATGCATCAAAAGACAGTCTTACCTTTATTTACTTTGCACTGGCTGGCAACATTAATTCTGAAAGCCTGGTAGACCTAGACACAAAGAGGTGTTTAACATTTAGTGACATTGCAAAACAGAGATGCTGATCCTGGCAAGAACATTAAAAAAAAAGTACATATGAAAGTTACTTGGTGAAAGTGTTGCAGTTCGATGGTGTGAAGAAGGCCAGAGGAGTTGACTGTGACATCGCTGGCAGCCAAACCTAGAAAACCAACAGTTACTGAGAAGTTTCTTTTGACTTGCAAGTTTGTGAATGAGTGTCAACAGGAAGACAACTCACCTAAGGACAGGACGTGTGGCACCGGGACCGATAAAGTCTGAGATTCCTGTCTCTGCCACTCGCACTCCACTGTGAACTGTAGACCAGAGAGGCAAACAGACCTTAACCAAGTACTATGGATAAACTAGCATTAGCGATAATTCAAAATGAAGGCTAACTTTAAGCTTGGTTTCTTTGCCTGTTTATTCTTATGGCCATTTTTGCTAGATGGTCTCAGTCTTTTACATAAAAATGATTGTTACTGGTTACATTTGTCATTCATGAAGTCTGAATCCTCTGATTCTACTGGTGGCTGTGATTGACCCAAAGAATCTACACTGTGGACTTGAGTGCACTAACCAGAAACAAGGATGGGTACACACTGCTGTCCTTGTAGGAGCTGTGGACAAAATCTACTGCAAGTATGCTGGAAAGCTGCTAAAAGCTCATGAAAATCAGGCACACATGGACATTGTTATCTACAATGGTGAGTTACTGTTTGACTGAACGAAACCGAATGCAATGCAGTGATTTCATGTCAACTGCAGGCTATGTACAGCATTTTGACAGAATTGCATTTCCAGTGGTAGAAGAATAAGACACCACTACCATCATTTAACCTTCATGCATATAGATGTTTGTACTGCGTCTCTTATAAAAGTCCTTAAAATGATCTCAGATTGAGAAGCACTTATCCTAAACTAATGCCAAACTTGTGTTACCATGCAAGCTGAACAAAACCAAGCAGCTCTGTGTACCCACCAGATGCTTAGAATGGTCAGTTACACACACCAGGAGTCACCCATTCACTACGGGTTGTGCAGAGTACAGCATGACTGTGATGTTTCAAATATTGAGACGCAAGCATAAGCACTGAGCCATGGACAAGCTACAGGTGTGGATAACAAAAAAAATGCGTGCATTGGACCCAGTCACCTGGGAATAAAGAATAAATAAAATGTATACTCAAGGAAACAGTTAATATCGCACTGGAGCATCAGCATCTCAGACCAAACAAAGAGGCATGTCAGCAACGCCTCCCCCCTCCCTTCATGTTTCAACTACAACCAGAAAGGTTGAGTACATGACAGCCAAAGCTAGCACTATAACATACATTGGATGGCGCTAATGAGCTGTTGCCAACTTGTTTAACATCACCTCCACCCGTCTCTTTACACAGGTCCACTCTAGTCTGCGTATGGAAGACATGGACGGCATTGGACAGAGCAGAACAAACACAAGCGGGGGGAAGGAGAAGCAGAGGAATATAGCAAAATAGCAGTAGTACTGAGATGTAATTAAATACAAGCAACAAAGATACAAGACTTTGGTTAACATGGCAGCGGTTGAAAGCTCTGGACAGCACTTTGACCTCTACAGTGTGGTGTGGGAGTTCACTACCGGTCTGTTTATAAATGCGGGGACAGCCAACAGTTTCAAAGGGTGGGACTCGTGCACTAGCATGCACTAATATGATAATCCCATTTGAGGCTTTTTACTGTTTCTACCCTCAGGATGACCAAGCATAACAGATAGAGACGGACAGATAAAGCAAACACAGAGCATCAAATACATTGTTCTTTGAGAGAGAAAAGCAAAGATGACCTACGAAGGCTAATGTCAAAATAACACGTCCTCATTTAGTCTCCAAGTACCTGTCTGCCATTGAGGTTGGAGGCCGAAACAACCAGATGAGTAACTGAAGACAAGTCACTGAGACTCAGAATGAGGACCTGAGGGGAATAACAGACGGTTATCAGCAACCGACAGGCAGCAGATCGGATTGGACGAAGTCTCTTCATGGGATAACTACCTTGTATGGTGGCAGAAGCTCACTTCCCATGGACAGATCCACTGCATGCACACTGAACATTAAAACACAGAATTTTTCACATTGCAGACAAATAAAAACACTGATTGTGGTTAAAGGTTGTGGTGAAAGAGGTTAACTATAGTCAGATTCTAACCATGAAGAACCGTTCTTCTGCACACAGCCATACACCCAGCTAGTCATCTCCTGCAGGACAACAAAAATAAACGGAAATCATCTCTAACTTGGAAAACCTGATAATATTACAAGTACAGAGCATACCAATTACTCTCGTTTCTGCTCAAGTGTGTAGCTTTTGCACTTAATTCTTAGACAACATGTTATCCTGACAATAAAACTGACCTACCATCTGATTTGTCGAACTTTAGTCAGATATATGCATCTATATGAATCATTGACAAGATACAGGTAGCCATGAAAAAGTCTGACAACAATCAAGCAAAATGAAGCTTTGCAACGCCTGCAGCTCAGTGACTGAGGGATTACAGCATTATCACAAGAGCACTGAAAACTCACCAGGTTGTTGCTCCGACAGTAGAAATGACTGTAGGCTTTCCTGCGACTCGACAGAGCAAACAGAAAGTATTTGACTTGTCCTTCCTGCCGTGAAGAGCAGAGCACCGTTGAAGACACATTTCTGCTTTTAGATTGTTAGTCAAGTAACTGGGTTGTACATGGCTACACAGAAGTCTTTAAGGCCGCAATTATTTGTATTAGATAAAAACCTTTTACAGTTTCCTTCAGTAAATGGGTTTTGACTGGTTGTGAGGAGTTCATTTATTGTACTAAATCAAAGTCTGGTACCTTTGGAGTGCTGTAAGCCAGACGTAGTGTGTTAACTTCACTCCATGCTTCAGGAAAATCTGGAAAATGGAAATGAAAATAAGAACAGGACACAGACAGTCAAAATTGCTTCTTAGAGTTAATGGAGATAAAAAAAAAATTTAAAAATACAAAGCACATCTACAGAAATGGCTCGACGAAGTACACGGGCAGGATGGTGGCCTAAACAAGGAATTAATGAAGTCTACATTCAGGATTTCTCTGTTTATTAAAGCCTCTCCAGGTTAAAGTGTTCGTCTCTGACCGAGGATTGAGATGGAGGTGTCTTGAGTTTCTCCCAGCATCCTGACAGGGTGTCTGATGAAGTGATGGTTGAGCACGATCATTTTCTTCTCCATGTTTTCTGTGAACTATTGAGAACAGATACACCAGGTATGAGCCACGAGACTAATCTCTGATATGGTAACATTTTTCTTCTATAAGCACCCCTCCATGTTTCCTCACATTACATTTTTCAAAAGAAAAGAAAGATCATTTAAAAACCAATTTTAAAAAACAAGCTTTTTTTTTTTCCTGACCTGTCTGGTTTCTGGATCGATGAGGTCAAAAAATGCCCTCACAGTAGCAAGAACCAGCTCTTTGCACCTAAAACCCAAAGCAAACCATCTCAATAACGTTCAAATATGGCTGAAACTGTATCGCCAAACTCAATGCAAAGCCTTTTACCAAACAATGGATAGATGATCAGTGGACACCCATGTCCTGGGAACTGCAGTTACCTTGGAAAAGAAAATAAGATATTGAAACAAGATACTGTTGTAAAGAGGTTCTTAGACTGTGTTCCACTACCCATACAATGATATTATTTAGTAAGCCAGAAAATGTAAAAACTCAAAAATACCAGGATGTCCTGGTACATACGGTTGGATTTCGCACCCTCTGTTCAGGCACATACGTCATGGTGTCTCACACCAGCATAAACAAGGTTGAGTTGCCGAGATGGACAAACAGATAACCGCTCATTTTGCACTGGAGAGTTAAAGGTTGAAGTCGTATGTCCCAATAGTATGTATACTGCATGTAACAGTACGTCCTTTGTTAGGGCAGCTGTCGTACATACTTAAAGCAGAAATACAGCGTGTGACATAGAACGCAGCCTTTTCCTGGTGAAACTAAATAAAATAAATGAATAAAACACATGTAATATGAAGAAGTCAGGATCAAATAGACTCAACAGAGCTCTTTTCCCAATAAACAGCCCCATGAAGAAGATGCTACACCTGAAAGTAGGGACTATTACGAGGCATAGATTAAACATGTGGTCGAAGAAGGCCAGATGATATGGTCAAGAGCAACTTAAACACAAACAACCCGTACCACCAGCGACAGCTTATTACGGTCTCCTCGGGGACAAGGAAGGGACGTCAGGCCAGAGCGGACCTGGTAGTCACGGTAACCACCTCCGACGGACAGAACTGTGACATTCCTGAGCTTGTTTGCCTGGTTCACCCACTTCTGTCTCACAGCTGAGTAGAAATCTGCACACGAGAGGAGAAAGAAACGATGCAAAACATCCATCCATTATCTATACACCTCTTAATCCTCACTAGGGTTGCGGGGGGGCTGGAGTCTATCCCAGTTGACTTAGGGTGAAGGCAGGGGACACCCTGGACAGGTCACCAGTCTATCACAGGGCTACACTTAGAGACAGACCAAGCACACTCACATTCACACCTACGGACAATTTAGAATCACCAATTAACCTCAACATGGTTTTGGACTGTGTGGGAAGAAGCTGGAGACCCACGCAGCAAATTCCACGCAGAAAGATCCCGGGTGTCCTCACTGGGATGCAAACCCTTCTAACTGCGAGGCAACGGTGCTAACCACCGAGCCACCTTGCAGCCCTTACTGTAAACAGTTCTGTCTATATTTCCATTTATGAATGAGTCACAGTAATAGAGTTTTTCCTACCCAGCAGGTATGGGTCCAGGGCCAGCACTGGAGCCTGGTGAGGGGAGGCCTGGGTGATGATGAGGCTGACCAGGTTAGTGTTGAAGCGAGGCAACGTGAACAGCGCTCGGGCCACCACCCCTCCCATGGAATGACCAACAAGCACTACGCTCTTCGGGGGGGTCTTCAGGTGCTGTTAGACAAGAAACTGGTTATGTCTTTGTGTTTTCTGCTGTTTGGAACTCCAACTTCTTGTTCTCTTGACTCCATGTATAGCATGTGTTGCTGTGACCTCTGAAGGCTGCTCCTTCATAAATAAATCACCAGTTTGTCTTAACAATGTGAATATTTAGTGTACAGTGGAATAGTTACTGGTTATTTTGATTGCATTCTTGCACTGCATTCAGTAATCTAATAGCAAGTTAATTTATTCCACTGTTATTTTGTCAACTTCTTCACAACTGTGAGATGTGCAAGTCAGCAGGATTAACTGAATGCCTGCATGCACAAGTAGAAGGTGATGGAATAGGATATGCACGTGATGTGTGTCCCCCTGAAATGTTACTCCACCAGCAATCTGGAGTAAATTAACCCCGTCTGACGAGCAGATGATATTTGAGGCCTGACCTTGTAGAGCCTCAGGATGGCTTTGATGCTCTCGTGCAGGAAATGTGTCTGCCTGAGCAAACTGCCGCCGTAAAGGGCCACCAGCTCCTCGTTGAAGTCCACAGTGAACACGTTGAAGTGGAGACCTGCTTCCATGTTTTCGGCCTTCCTCAAGGCGACTGAGCCCAGGGAGCGAGCTTCATAAAGACAGAAGATGGTGTCAAACAGCTGTGTTGTAGTGAATTTGTATAAATCAGAGCATAAAACCGCAAAACGTTGAGTGAAATCATGCAGATGTGGGGTCAGTACTACTCCTGTGCTAATTAGTGCCATATGTTCAGCTATGCTGCTCTGCCAAACGACACACTGCAATAATTATTTATGCACAGCTCTTACGTGAAAATTATTCTTTCATATTTAAATTATTGATTAAAGTCATCGTGTCTTGAGCTTTCTTTAGATCCTCAGGGCAGCTCTTCCTGACCTAAAAAAAGAAAACTCTCACTTTGCTATCGTTAAATTCACACAGATGGGACCAGTTTCCGATATGGAAAACCTCTGAACACGCAGGTCTGATCTGACATTTAAACAAACAAACAAAAATACAAATAAAAATTCATCAGCTTGAAGGTTGTGAATGCAGGAAAAGAAACGCTGAGCAGCAGAGCGCATGCACCGTCTTCACACACAACGCAGTGTAACGGGAAAATGTGTTTGTCTTCACATGAATAGAAGCGCGGGTGTTCTCCTCCTACACACAACTGATAGCAAGAACCGTGGAGCAGCATCCTCTCTGGTGTCATTAAGAGCAGAACTGAGTTATAAGTTAGAAATTATCCATATCGCTACAAGGTTAACTGACAAAAAGACCCAAACTAACAATCACACCTTTTACTACAGTCTGATTATCTTTATATTAACATTTGCTCAAACAGAGGACCCCTGAAAAAATCAAACACACATATTTTATACAAATGTAACTCTTAAAAACAGTTAAGCCATTTTCTGTAACAGCTGGACACTGCAGTTTTTAACGCATGTTACTTAACAGGAGAAAATCGTGCGTGTGTTGGAGGTTATTTTCAGCCACGGATTAATACTTTATTTGGTGCTCTGGTGAGTATTTCTGGCAGTGGGACAGTGTATGTAGGACTGAATCAAAATAAACCACAGTGTGTGTGTGTGTGTTCATAGTAATGACTGAACATGTCACCCAGCGCAACACGGAGGCTCGCTGATGTATTTTTTAGAGTTTATGGACAACAATGGAGCTCTCTGGCACAGAGGAATAAGAAACATCTGGCTGTGGACACACACAAACGAACAATAAATGGGTCGTTTAGGTATGTGCAGTGGACTGACAATAAGAACAAATATAGAATATCACACAAGCTCTACCTTTTAGTAAATGGTTGTTAAAGCTACAGATGTGCTTAAAATGACACAAGAGCCTCCTCGAAACAAAATCATATGGTTGGAAACTGGGTGCCAGTTTTTCATGATGAATACTTTTACATACAAACATTCCAGCTCCGCGTACACAATACACACTGAGGAAACACAACATCTGTGGTGTGACAAAGGTCAAACATTCACGGCCTTAAAAGACTCAACATTTGTGTTCCAAACTGTAAAGGACGGTGTGCTTGTGAGTCAGAAAGAAAGCCATCAATAGGAAGTATGAAGTTGTTACAAAATCTCACACAGATGAAATTATTTTAAAAAATGTAAATTAAAATCAGCTTCTCCTTGTTGTGCGTCTGGATGCCTTTGCTGTCTGTAGCCTTACTGCACGACTTTCACCTCCCTGGCTTTGTCCCGGCTCCTCTGTGGTTTCTGATTCAATGCTAACACTGCAATCTATCTATGAGCAACTTTATTCAAGGATTCTTTCTTGTTATACCAGGACACGTTTCCACATGACATGGCATGAAATTAGTACTCGGGTCCCGGTTGTAAGCCAATAGAAATAAATAGAGAGAAATAAGGAAAAAATAAAGAAGAATAAAAAATAAGAATAAAATAGGACAAAATAAAATAAAGAAGAAATAAGGGAACTTACAAGCACTATAAAAACAATATAGACAAGTGTTTACCAGCAATAAACAGATAAATAAATAGGCATGCTTGCAAAATGTGGTTGTTGTGCCCTTACCTTGTTTGTAACTTCCTGCATTTCCAGGCAGGAACAGCACAGGGGCACCGGTGAGTTTAAGGGCTCGGGTCTCCTGGGCGTACAGACCCTCTCCATACAGGTAGAGCCCGTATGCTGGGTACAGTCTGGCCACGCGACGAGGCAGAGCAACACGCTGTGAAAGCACCACAGACCCACACAGACATGGATTAGGAGGTGAAGCCCCCATGTGCTCACCTTCAGTCTCACACAGTTCATTAACCTGTTGTCACATTCACCCAAACATCATACAAGTCACACCATAAAGCAACTACAGCTGTGTGTGCATCCACTCCACATCTGGCTGACCCCTCATTACCTTGCTGCATTGTTATAAATACCTACACTTAGTTCTGGCTTTATGTGAGAAGTTAAGAGATGCCAAATTGATGCAGTCTGGTATAGTTGACTATTAACCCTTTAAAGCCGTGTGAAACCTTTGTTTATGGCAGTGGCATCTATAGACAAACACTACATTTGGACTGGGAAACAGTGATGAGCTAACATGAGCAGCCAACTAATGAAGTTGGAATAAAATCAGAAAAAAAATGCTATTTTTACATGTTATTAAATTGTCGAAAAATTGTTTTTCCCTGTTGATAAAATGTGAGAATTTACTATTTTTGTCAGATTTTTTTTTTCTTTTCTTTTCTTTTTTTTTTTAACTGTAAAGCAGACCAGAAATTTTACCTGTAAATCAATATCCCAATTAGGGCTGCAGTAATTCATTATTTTTTCTATGTCTCAATGAACTGATTGTCTATAAAATGTCTGAAAAAAGTAAAAAACGTTTCCCAAAGCTCAAAATAGCATCCTTGACTGTCCTGTTTCACAAAGACTTTCAGTTAGTGAAGTAAGGAAACCACAAACTATTCACATTTATGAACCTGAAATCAAAGAATTTAATTCATTATGAAACTGCTCATTGCAGCTCTAATCTTTTCACTACACCTGAACAATTAATTGCCTCCAAATCAAAAAAACACATTATAAAACAAAGAATTAGCAGATCGCAAAAAATATATATTATATAAAAAAATATATATGTGCAATACTTAGCTGCTGCTTCTAAGTAGAGCTGCAACGATTAGTCCATTAATCGACTAGCTGTCATTAACTGGCAATTAATTTGCGAATATTTTCTGTTAATTTGCAAATTTACGGGAAAAAAAAGGTAAAAATTCTCTGATTTGAGCTCCTTATAGGAGGTATTTTCTGGCTTCTTTTATCCTCTATGACTGTAAAGTGAATATTTTGGGGTTGTGGACACAAAAAGACATTTCAAGACGTCAACTTGGGTTTTAAGAAATGCTGATCAACCTTGTTTTTATACAGTTTCTGGCATTTTAAAGACCAAAAAGTAACTGATTAATCTAGAATAACTGACAGAATAATCAGCAGTGAAAATCATGAGTTGCTCCTGTTTCAGTGTCACAGATTGTTGACAAAAAGGTCTCATTATTATCTTATTGGAATGATTTTATTTCTTTTAATGGCATTACTTTATTTATTGATAACCCACTGGCAGGCTTTCTATGCCATTTGAAGAAAAAAAAAAAACATCTTTTAAACAACTTATATCTTGACGGTCTCATCTTTGCATAAGAATATAGAACAGCTGATGTTTTGATGGCGTCTCTTGTGGTAATGATCTATCACACGCTTTTAATCTATTATTCAATTAATATTCAAATATTAAAGCTTTAATAAATAATATACATATATATTGCATATCAAAATATTCATTAGGAATTTACAATTAGGTACATCGTTCAGTCATTTGACTTTTCTTGCCTTAATCTAAACATCTGTTAGAAGTGTTCAATGACTATTTATTTCCTCTCCTGTCTGCCCAGTGTTCATCACAAACACTCAGCCAGTCCTGATCAAGAAACCATCTCCATGAACCAATATTTTTTCTACAACTGGGAGCCTTTTATTCATCTCCTCTCACACACAACACACAAGGGACACACTCTGGGCTGTGTGGACTGAGGCTGATGTCCACACACAGCACTGCCTCCAGCTGTGCCCCACTTCTGGACAGATGCACACATCAGGAAGCATCACGGCGACCACTACCAACATCCTAACAGCCCATCATTCACCTGGCCTGTAGTCTGGGTGTTTGTCACACGCCGGTATCAGGCTGATCGTGACCTGCTGAGAGGATTCAAGGATCAGCAGTTACTGTATGCTTCCATAACCTGGCTAACTGGAGAACCTCATCCTCAACCAACACCTCCAGCGACACAGGTGAGCTGCGTGACGCCACCGAGGGAGCACGTGTGCCCGGCTGCACGGCCACACACACACCTGGCGGTACTCAGCCAGGTAACGTTAGCGACGGTTCAGGAAGTAGCTCAAAACACACCTGACAGCCACATTTCGTGTCCAGTCAAGCATTTTTTCGCGGTGTTAAGATAAAGGAACCATTAAGCGAGATGTGTGTAGCCTCCTCAGAAAAAAAAAATAGCCATTAGCTTGGCTAATTTATTTATAGCGCTTTGAGTGCAGTAATTAGCCTGGTACTCACCCGATACTCTGGGTATTCAAACATATAGGTCATGCTGCATCTGTTCTCCTCGAAGCCAGTTAGCAACTCTCGCAGGCCGACCGCCAGCAGCCCCAGAGCGACTCCGTAAAAGGCCACAGTGGCGAGTTTCATGGTTCAAATCTTGAGGGTGGCTTTTAAATTTTACAGGTGTGCAAGCTCCATGTTTCGGTTTTCATCCTCTTTCCACCCTGCCAGGCGAGACGCCACACAGGCTGTCAGACACACCGGCTGAAGCTCACAACAGGAACCACTACACAGCGGAAGTGACTGGCAGGCCGCTCCGCCAATTACAGGACAGCATCGACGACAGCGGACCAATGGGAGAACTGATAGCAAATGATGTAATCTTTATCAGAAATGGTTACGTTTAGCAGTTTTTGCCGAGTTAGATTTAATTGTATTTTTATATGGCCTTCTTTAATGTGTACGTTTTTGCTGTTTGTAATTATTTAAGAGTACTCTGAAATGTTTTCCTTCAAACACATATATATCTGCAATAAAATGCAAGTCATACATAATAGATGTCGAGCGTCAAAAATACTATAGGAACCTTATGGCACATATTTGAGTTCTCAAATCTTTAATAAAACAGTCAAATGTCTGCTGCAGCTCCACGAAGCTGCCTCAACAATCACAAACACATGTACACACAGGCATGTAGAGTAGTCCAAAGTCTCGCAACTGCAACAGGTCAAATATTTTTGCATGGGGAGGAAGACAAATTTTTTGTGTGTAGAAAAAAAACAAAACAACAACTGGTGCACTGAAATGTAAGATCTTTATAGTACACAGTTCCACAAAACATGATTTCCCTGCTCAGTCTTCTCTGAAACACAGAAGATGTGAGTTTCTACGTGAAGTGCCACATAAAACAAGAGTTTCTTTTTTTTTTTTCTTCTCAGTGAATGATTTCATATTTGAACCTGTTGGTAACTTACAACACATTCTTCATAAAATCCAAGACTGATTTTTAAAAAAACAACAAAACTCATTGCAGATTTTAACCATTTGAGTCACATCATCGGACTTGGGTCAGATATTGTCAGCAAACAATCTTCAGTATTCGCTGGGACAAACGTGTTGCATCAGGTCGATCAGAACCCCTCCCCTCTGGTACTACAGAAGAGCTAAATTAAGCAAGGTGGTTAATTGAAAATCATTTTCTATTTCTCTGGCCCCGTTCCTGAAATTAGCCAACTCTTCCAGAGCAAGAGTTCATGGACTTGCCAAGTTCTAATCACTGGTTTCTACAATATAAGAGAGTGAAGAAGAAAAATCAGCAACACTGTTACAGGCAGCATCAGCGCTGTTGTGTTTGGCTCTTGCGTCTGTCTGCGGTGAATAAATCCAACTTCATCCCGGTGCCTTCCTCAGACTTCTCAGTGAAAAGCTGTGCCTCGATTCCCCTCTGTGGACAAAGTTGAGCCGCTTTCGCTCAATTTAATGAAAGCATAATACTGAGGGGAATTTCACGTCTGTGACTAGTTTTCCACTGGGACATCTGCCTTAAATCAAAACCGCCTTAATCAAAAAAATGCACGTAATCTATCCTCGTAATGGTCCAGTCTGGAGGCACTCCTCTAGTAAACTCCCTTTGGAATCTGGCAAAGACAAAAAGGAACATTGGAACGACGACTACACAAAGTCACACAAAGGTTTTCATTATTTTGTACGCACGAGTGATTCTACATCTAACAAGAAGATACTCACTCATAAAATGCAGATAGAAGTCTTTTAGTTTCTGGTTTGCCTTCTCCACCTCCATTGACCGTCGAATTGGTAAAAGTCACCTGCACGCACTCATCGGGAACTTGTGCGGTTGTCAGGTACCAGAAACGCATCAGAATGCAGACAAACGTTCTCCCTGGAAAGAATCATACTGACACTGGTTAACACTGCACTTTATTTCCAATTTAAATCACAATAAACAAAGATTTTGTAGCATATGCCAATGTGAAGGTCAACTCTACCAGATAAATAAACTATGAACATTGAAAAAGCGGCTCAGAAGCTTCAGTAAATGGTTCTAAATCTTTTCTCTTGGTGAAAATAATGTCTGTGTTCGTGATAGTTGCGCGGGGGTAAAATTTTAGATAACTCTCATTTAAATTGTATTTTGGCTTATAATGAAGTATAATTAAAGACGCAGCCCCTATCGGGGTCCCGGAGATGTGGCTGACTAATGTGGTTTCAATGGAGCTCTGTGGCACACAGGAACAAGACATGTCAGGCTATAGACAGACACAATATGAGAATAAGTGCATTGGTGGTTTTTAGTCTTGTCATGGGATTTGCTGACAGTACAAAAGGGAGAGACAAATTACCACCAGATTAATCCAAAAACACTTCATTCTTACCGTCTTTGTCAAAGAAGAGCGACACATCTCTGGCCATCATGTAGATGATCTGATCAGGATCAACAGAGAGGGCTTTCTTGCACTCAGTTGACAATGAGTTGCATTTTTCCTCCAGCTCTCCAATCATCTGCAAACACCAGAAAATTAGGCAAGGAAAGATAACTGGTATGACATCTACAAGCAGCATTTCAAAATACTGTAAGTGTATCCTGATTTATCACTAGACATCTCGACTGTGCTATGTCACTGTGTTATGCTGCTATGTTATGTGTGTATACACCACAATAGTGAGTCCACACCTTCGCAACATCACTTCACTGTCAACTGATTCAAAATTGTATCACCTCTCAGTTATTTCTAATTTGAGCACCACATTGTTGACAATTCAGGCCCCAATGTAGAAACTCAACAACAAAAATGACGACACCTGTGATCACTGAATCAAATATTAAGTACACGGTGGATTTCCAGTTGGCCTGACTACATGAGCATGTTTATAAAATGAGCTTTGGACACAAGACCTTTCTCAGTTTTAAACCTGTGGATTGGATCTATCTACAGCATGGCTCCACATAGAAAAGAACTGGAGCTGAGAAATCTGATTTAAAAAAAGATTGCATGAAGATCAGTGAACAACTGAAAATCTGAAATCAGGAAAGTTACAGCGATTGTCTTCTTAAAATGACAGCGCGGATAGTGCGCTGCTTTCACAATCTACCTTTTAAAAACAGACCGGTAAGTAGAATCTGAGCTTATGTGACCGCTCAGACAGCGTGAAGGAGACTGCATGTTGTCAACTGCTATAAGTGACATCAAAAAAAAAAAAAAATCTTTAGTACAAAACAGCATTATGTAGTTTTGTAAGAGAACATGAACTGAAGCCTGATGAATGTTGAGGGCACATTCTTTGGTCAGATGAGACCAAGATAAATGTGTTCAGCTTAGGTTGGGGTCCAGCGTTATTGGCGTGAACCTGGCCAGGGCAACCAGTGAATGCACAATCCTGACAGTGAAGCACAGAGGTGGGAGTTTGACTGCATTAGTGCAAAAGCTGTTGGGGAGATGACATTTATAGACCGTTTATAGCACCGTAAATGCCTGTGGATATACCAAAATCCAGGCTGACAAGGGGACTACCAGTCTGCAGAAGCTTGGCAGATGAGGAATATTCTAGCATGATAACGATGCACAGAACGCTGCCAAAATCACACTCGTTTCTAAACAAAGATAAAGCTACACAACTCCTCCAGCAGGTGAAAAAAACACAGTCTTTAAAGAATAACAGAACATTTCCTCAGAAATTTGTGCAACACTATTGTCCTCCAAGCTAGGGAGGATTAGTCGGTTATCAAAAATAAAGGTGGACATATTAGCTACTGAAAAAAGTGAAAGTTTTGAATATCAGTAACTAAAGGTGTACTGACTTTTACTGGGGTGGCTCTGTCTTTAATATAGTAAATCTACACTATGAGCATTTAACCTACAGTTCAACATAGAAGTAATGCAATTACTGTAAGGTGATACAGTTTTAATCATTTGACATTTAAGGGGTTTTGCTCAGTGTACTTCTGCTGTATACTAAACATCTTCTATGCAACCAGTATGTATCTTGACACTGGGATCAGATTGAGATTTGCGGCTACATTGTGGATAACATACTCACATCTTTAGCTACGAGCCCCTCCAGAGATTCAAACTGGGACTGAGACAGCAGATTGGAAACACGCCAGAAGGCCTGCAAGAGTCAACACAACGTCTTCGTCAGTATCTGAGCAGAAACAACCCGCTGGGAGTTTAGCTTCGGGCTGCTGTTGTAGCTTTAGCTAGCTAACAACAATAACACCACCACACCCGGGGTTTTACAGACCTGCTTCGCTCCCTCTGAGAATTTTTTGACGCTGAACTCTTGGTCGAAGAAAACTGTGATCAGAACGCAGTTGATCTTGCTGCGGAACCAGAAGATGATGTTGTAGAAGTCAGTCCCCTCGATCTTCTCTTTGGTCCCGCCCTGCTCGGAGCTGTACGGACGGACCGCTCGTGCCACAGAGGCGGCGGGGGAGGAGGGAGACAACCGCATTCTACCGGACCGGTTCAGGACGCGACTTTCATTTAATAACAAGCGAGTGAAGCTCAATGTTGATGGCAACCTATAACAACCTCTTAACACGGGCAGCGCCATCTTTTTTGTCTGCTCAAGACTTCTTGTCCGTGTTGGTTTAGGTTCCGGTTGGAAACAAGTACTACGGTGCAAATATACACACAGATACACTAAAAACACGAGCTCAGTGACGCAGTTTTTTTTATAACAATATTAAAACAACCTAGCATGTTAGAATTAATCAAAAGGTCGTGTTGTTGTTGTTTTTTTTAAGTCGATTGTTACGGTCTTTCTTCCTTTTGTTTCCACGGGGAGCACGGACACTGTAACACACGCTGAAGTTGTGAGCTGCTAAATGAATTTCTGCAGCAGATCGCGTTAAATGGAGCTCCAGGAAAAAATACACGTACCGATATTTTGCGGAGTGGACAGGGACGTGTTTCTGCGTGACATTTATCCACAGGTACGACACTTCCGCCAACCACAATAAACTGTGACTCCAGTATTTACTCACACACCTCACTGCTGTTCTTCTATTACTTCTTTATAGCTGCTTTAAAATGTCCAGCAGTTTAGTTTGTATAGATATTTATCTTTAAGTCACAACAGAAGGGAGCCGAGTGTAATATCACTTAAAACTGTGTCTTATAACTTATAAATGTGTTTCTGTGATGCACAAAGATCTGTTTTAAATCCAGTGATCTGAGATGGGCTGTAATGTGGATTATAGGCATGCCTATTTGCCAGTCAAGTCTCCCCACACCTCCATGTTAACAGTGAGCGTTGTTTTCCAGCGCAGACCAGCCCTGCTGAGAGGCGTGTGTCTGGGCTCCTGCCTGGACAAATGGACGGTGGAGTATCTTGGACAAAAAGGAGGCGACAAGGAAGTGAAGATTCATGTATCCACGGTACCACGGATGGATTTTCTTCGCAAAAACTTTGCCTACAAGTGAGTTCGCACTGTCACATGTGTGCCCTTGCACCTGACTGTAACTATCTCACCTACAGGACTAATCCAAACCCTTAAAACACAAATCTGAACCTCCAAACAGCCCTGTTGGAGTGACCTCACCTCTGAGGTCAAACACACACATCAGTTCTTCTCCACTGATTTCTCATGTTTCATATTTACAGGACCTTGCCGTTTAATGAATTTGTGAAAAGAGCATCTGAGACGAAACACTCAGACTTCTTTCTGTGTGAGGTGAGGATCATAAAATACAGATATAGTGTATTTTTACAGTATGTTGTATTTTCTTAATGACACAGAGTCCTTGTTGTGACTTTAGGATGAGAGTTATTATCTCAGATCACTGGGAGAAGACGTCCGAAAGGTACCAAGAACACTAAACCACGATGGATGAAGCGTAATGAGATTTGTTGTAGATTTTTGTATTTGTATGGCATAAATCATTTACTGAAACTGGTCCTTCCTCTCCCGTAGGAACCTGCTGATCTGAGCAAGCAGTTCCCAGACCTGGCGGAGGATTTTCACATCCCACGCTTCTTTAACCCTGATCAGTTCTTCTCCAGCGTCTTCCGCATCAGCTCCTGCGGCCTGCAGCTGTGGACGCACTACGATGTGAGTGCTGGAATGTGTGGCTGCAGATTAGGAGCTGCGAGTGGAAAAATTAGTCGGCACAAAAATGTTAGAACCAAGCAGAGTGCTGTGAAGATGTACATACAGACGCTTTTAGCTGTAATTAGTCAAACATACTGTTAATAATCCATATAAAAGCGATTTTTTTTTTTTGCATTTTCATTCTTTGTGCTTGGTGCATGAGTATTACATTTTTTCACAAGCTTGCACCTTGTTTCCTGGGTTTTTGGGTGACCAGCATCCTCAGGACTTCTTACAGAGGTGTGATGGAGAGCGTTCTGACATACTGCATCCATCCATTATCTATACACCGCTTAATCCTCACTAGGGTCGCTGGGTCGCTATCCCAGCCGACTTAGGGCGAAGGCAGGGGACACCCTGGACAGGTCGCCAGTCCATCACCGGGCCACACTTAGAGACAGACAACCAAGCACACTCACATTCACACCTACGGACAATTTACAATCACCAATTAACCTCAACATGTTTTTGGACTGTGTGGGAGGAAGCTGGAGAACCTGGAGAGAACCCACGCTGCACAGGGAGAACATGCAAACTCCACGCAGAAAGATTCCGGTGCCCCCACCGGGACGCGAACCGGCGACCTTCTTGCTGCGAGGCAACAGTGCTACCAACTGCGCCACCTTGCAGCCTCATACTGCATCTCAACATGGTATTCCAGCTGCAGTCGGTCAAAGCCCTGCAGAGGATAGTTAGAGGAGCTGAGTGGGTCATAGGAGTTTCCCTCACGTCTGTCCAAGAATTCTTCCAGAGCCGCTGCAGGAGCAGAGCACTGAACATTGTCAGGGACTCCTCACACCCTTTCCATAAACAGTCTGAACTGCTGCCATCAGCCTGATGGCATCAGGCAAACGTTTCCAGAGCATTAAAGGAAGAACCTCCAGAATGCTGCACAGCTTCATTATCAGAATGCTGAACTGCTGATCCGGATATGCAAACACTTGTTTATTTAAATTGCTTTAAATTATTGGATCCTGAAGAAACGCTGTCTCATCTTGCCTGTATTACTGTGTCTATGCTGTGAAATGACAATAAACTTGATTTGATTTTTGGGCTTCATCCCTCCAGGTGATGGACAACCTGCTGGCTCAGGTGACAGGGATGAAGAGAGTGGTTCTCTACAGCCCCCAGGATGCATTGCACCTCTACCTATCAGGTAAGCGGCGATAAAACATGCCATGTCTTTTGGTTCGAAAGCTGAAAACATCTACTGTACAAGCTTCTTCCGCTTATGTTAAGCACTAGCATCGCTGTTGCTTGGTTGGATGCATTATTAATTCGGTGCGCTACTACAATGACTCGTGTTGTTGATGTAACCCATCAGGTGATAAGTCCGAAGTCCTGGATATTGATGCTCCAGATCTGAAACAGTTTCCTGACTTTGTGAAGGCAAAGAGATACGAGTGCGTGCTGGAGCCTGGAGATCTGCTTTTCATCCCTGGTAAGGAGAGCTGCCTGCAAAGCTCAGCTACAGAAATGTATCGTCATGAAAAACCAAACACAGTCCACTATAAACAGCAATACATATTTTGGAAAGTATGATGTAAATTACTTTTTAAAGCTGATTAAAACAGCATCAAGGAATGTGAATGAAGATGTTTCTAATATCTAAACACTTCACATAACCCAGTTTAACTCTTTCCAGCTCTATGGTTCCACAACACCCTTGCTCTGCAGTTTGGGGTGGGTGTTAACGTGTTCTGGAGACATCTACCCACGGACAGCTACGACAAAAAGGACCCGTACGGTAACAAAGACCCGGTGGCTGCAACTCGAGCCCTCCAGGCCGTGGAGAGGGCGCTGCACATTCTGGACGAACTCCCACCAGATTACCGGGACTTTTACGGCCGCCGCATGATTCAGCGCATCCAGAAGAGGACGTACTGTGACGGTCTGTCGGGCTCAGACGCACGGGAGGATTCTGACACTACATTACCCAGCAGCCCCTCCACCAAACCTGGATAAGGATGCAGAGAAATGTGAACAGAACTTGTATTTTGCTGCACATTACTCAGCCTGGACACTGGATCTGAGAAATAAAACAGTGGCGATTTTGGCCTGTAATTTGCATAAAGATTAAAATGACACAAACAATTTTTACTGTGGAAGAATCTTAAGCATCAGGGAGTTTCAATACGGGTCATAGTCTTCTCCAGCACACTATAATTCATCCTCTGAAGTGCTATTGGTAGGAGAGACTTACAAAACAATCACAATTTGTGCTACAGTGGGTATTCGAGACAACTGTAATATTCTACATATACGACATTACGACTAGCTTTCGTAAAATACTTTGATCAACTGAATGTATTTTAGTTTGTTTTTTTAATTGCAAAATAAATTTTACACCCTTCAAGCCTAACTTTTCAGATAAAGTCCTGCATGAAAAGTCAAATAAATGGAACACAAGTAATCAGCAGAAAAATGCAAAATGTAGTTTGCAAGTAAAAGTCCTGGTTTGGTAAATCTGCCATCACTAGATAAAGAGTGGAGCATCATCAGCATATTCTAAAGGTTTAAACTACTTTAAATTCAGTTTTATATTCAAGGACAGAAGATGCATTTGAGGGCTCCAAACATGATTAATGAGAGACCTTCTCTCAAATTCTTTGTGGCTGATTTATTGAAATGAAACCACATGAGAAGCTTAGAGTGAAAAGTGATTGTTCTATGGAGCTCGTAATGACTCGTATACGTCTGAAATGTGAGTCCGACTACACTCTTACTTTTTGGATGAAGCTTAAAAGGTCGGAAACCTCTGGTTTAAACTTGTATTAAAATGTTGATCTTAAAGCTGTCAGATGAATGTAGGAGTAGAAAAAGTACATTTCCCTCTGAAATGCAGTGGAGTGGAAGGGAAATATGCGTTAAAGGGAAATACCTGGACGTACAGGCGTCTGTTTAATCACTACTTGACAACTTTGTGACCCACCCTGTAATTTGCTGTACCTTGGCTGGAGTATCTTGTTTAGGTAATGCAGTTTCACCTCAATCATTCTTATTGGTTCATAAAGCCTAAACAATAACCTGTGTATTAAACATACACTGCGTATTTTTTTCCCCCATGAAATACATCCCCTCCTGCTTTAAAATGTCTTACATGTACCTCTACATTGTTGATTCCTCTAGAATGTGTAGATCTATTAGTTTCCCACCTCTCTCTCTTTGCACTCACTGCAGCTCAAGCACACCAGCTCACTTAGGACTCTGCTCAAACATTTTACAACTACTCTAAACAGCCCAAGTTGTTCTGAAGAAGAAGGATGATACAAACAGTCTCATCCTGCAAACTGACAGGATTGTTTCCCTACGTTTGTTCCATATGAACCCCACAGATGAAACCTGGAAGTCTGTCATCAGTAAACTGCAGTTTTAAGATGAAAATGTTGAGCCATAGTGTTGATCACTAATTTTACTCATGATTCTTAACATGTGGATGTTAACAGGGTGGAAAAAATGGGACTTTTTACAGAAGGGAGTTTCATTGTTTTACTGGTTTCTAAATGCAAGTATCTCAACTCCAGGGAGCTGCTTTAGATTTACATTAATCTGAGGGTTAAATATCTCATTTTATTTTTTCATCATCATCTTTAAAGCCTTTTTATCTATAAAGAAAAAATTCAATGTTGTGGTCTTTAGTGTCTCACATCAACTGTGATGAATATTCTTGTGTTCCACCATGATAAAGATCATTTGCTCTGTAACATTTTAAGTTTTTGCATTCTGAGAGCTGTATACAGTTTTTTTTTTTTTTAAAAAAGGTAAAAATGCTATAAACTTTAATACTATTTTGGTTAAAAATATAGAAATTTCCTGTGTTAAAAGCTAAGGGTCAAATCTAACGCTAAAAATATAAATACTGCTTTAAGTTACAGTTTAGTTGATAAAGCAATTTAAAAACATTATTTCATTTGGTAAAGATCCTCCCATTATATGGACGCCTGTGACGTGATGTTCTTTTCATGAGCTCCAGGTGTGGGAGCACACAGATTTTCTACCTGTGGACAACGTGGACATGGGATGTTCAGTTTTTGATGGAAATTAATGGGCTTAAATGGATTATTTCGTCTTCGATGTGAGAAACTTTGCCCTCCTGTGGTTCAGAGCGGCTGTCTGTTGCCTTTTGAAATAGCCTTCCATCAGATCCTTTTCATAATGAACATTACCAACGATTAGAACGAATCTTCTCCAAACAAGAACCATTGTCGTTATACAACAAATCATCTGAACATGACGGTAGAAAACATTATTAAATGTAAATATGACATGTAAATGAGAAGCTCCTTATATTCTAACTGGAAACCAAGCAACTACTGTTGTGATAGAAACTCTACTTTACTAGGCGACTATATAAAGAAATGGAAAATAACCACAGTGACACTAAAATCTCAACTCAGCATCTACCTACTTGTTTGTTCTTTAGCTTTCCTTGCAGGGTCAAGACTGAACTGCCGAGCTTCGCCTCCACTAAAGGTCCTGATGTGGATCACAGCCAAACGCATACGAAGACTAACGCAGGGTATCTGCTGAAACAAGCGTACGGTGAGAGTCTGGTCTCCGTTACTGAAACGCGCAGGTGAAGAAACGGTACAGTTTGAAATTTTATTGCACAAAGAATACAGTTCTTTATGTTTCCTTACAAACATTTTAAAGCTTTGTAAACAGTGAAGCAGCATCTCCCCAGTGTGTTCAGTATCTCCTGCTAACACCGCTTTGAGTCCCTGTTGTCACATTTCTTCAGTAAGTCTCAGCATTTACGAGGGCGGGTGGGGGTGGGGTGGGAAGAGAGCCGACCAGTGATGGACTATATAAAGCAGAAAGAAGCTCTGAGAGTTGACTGTGTCCTAGTAGGAGGTGGTTACACACAGTAGGTCAAACCTGTTCAGTAAACTGTTGGCTACTTAAAGAGCTTTTCACTCTGATGTTTAGTTTGTGTCGGGGGTGCTGAGCAAGCCATGTATCTGGGGGGGGGGAAAAAACACCCGAACAGGGCCAATATTAAAAATAGTTTGGCTTCTGAAGGTAACAGTCTTCACCACATCCGTCTTGAATTTCCTCCACGTGAGCGAGGCGAGGAAACGTCTCGAGGAGAGGCAGCAGGAGGACAAGAAACAGTGCAACATTTTGTCTCTGGCTATAGAAAAGCTTTGGTGCCCTCCACGTGGCCTCGTCCCCCCTGCAGCAGAGCAGCGCCGAGGTGCGACCCAAGTCACGGCCGAGGCAAACGTCCGCTTCACGTACGCTCTGGGCGCGTGCGCACGTCGCTACGAAGACTGCTCATCAGACAGAAAACAGACAAAGAAATGGCACGTTGCTTGTTGGTGTTCTCTATTCTGTTGATAACTAAGTTAGATTTTTATTTAATTTTTTTTGTTCTTTTTCTTAAGGTTGCTTGTAGGCAGATGGAAGAGAACCCTCAGAAAGCAGGACAATTCTCTTCCCGGTGATCAGCCAGTTGTGGATGCAGAGAAGGTGGAGCGGATGTGCGGCGTTTGGCTTCCTACGGAGTCTGTGCCATGCCCCGGCTCGACTTCATCTTCTCCAGTCTTTTAGATAGATGGCTGTTGTTGGACTCGAGCTCGTCGATTTTGTCCAGCGCCGAACGCAGCTGTTGGGTCAGAACAAAAGATTTTCAGTTAGACTGAGCCTCCGTGAATAAACAGTTTTAACGTCAGACAACAACACCGTGCCTCTCTCTGTAGTTTCCGTTTCTCCGCCTTCAGCTCGTCCTCCACCTTCTCCGAGTTCTCCGACGCAGACTTGTAGCGCGTCACCTGACCCTCAAGTCTGGTCACCTGGATGTCACAGAAATGAAAGTCAAGACTGTCGTCGTGATTCGGGGCGCAGCGTGACGCGACCGCTCGGGATTCCTCTTAACTTACATTTTGCTCTAAAGCGGTCACTTCCTGTTCGGCCTTCACCAGTTTGAACTTCAGGTCGCTTATTTGTCTGTTGGAGTCTCCTGGAAGATTTGTAAGCAAATTATTAGCAGGGTACACCACGCATACCGTCAACGACTACACACTGTTCCCACACTCACTCTGTATCTCCATGATGTTGGGATCATTGCCGTTTTCAACTATTTCACCGTCTGGACTGGAGGCGTCCGTGCCGTTCTTCTGCGTCTTCTGCTCCAGCTGGGCTTTTAGTTTCTTTACCTGTAAATGGAGGCAAAACACGTCATCTGATAGTGATCACAATACTTTTTTTTGACGGTTTTACTGTCAATAAATCCCATGAAGTGACCTAAACCACCAACAATGTGTCAGCGGATTCTTCTCAATCAGCTCCTTCTGCAGACATTAATCTTTGAGGTGACCTGGCAGCTCAGTGATGAATGATGCGTTTGATTCCTGGCTGGCTCCTAACTCTCTCTACCCCACATTGCCTGTCTCTCTCCACCGTTAAGTCGTTGGATTTCTTTTTTTAAATTGACCAAATGACAAAACTGGAGATATGATTAGGATGTTTAAAATCAGATTCAAGCAGAAATAAATAATACGACTGGACATTATGATGTGTAAACTCATTAATACACTCAACAATCCTGTTTAACCCCCGACCCAATGAAAACCCCTATACAATACAGCAGCTTTGTCAGCATTCGTGTGTGAGTTAAAATCACAGTCAAGGTGGCTTAGGGATGGAGAAAAATCCCAGTCGCTGAGAGGGGACAGGAGTGTGATTTTTTTTTGGATCACACAACCCCAAGTATAAATGAATTGAAACATACTGATGACTAAGGTGTTCTGACTGGTTTTAAAGAAACTGGGCTTTTAAGGGGAAAGAGGAGAGTTGTGAGAAGTTTTTGTTTTGTTCTGTTTTCTTAAATACCTCAATTGGAGTAGTTTTTTTTTTGTATTGCCTGTTTAGTTTATTGAATTGGATTTTGCATTTATTAATGGTGAAGAATGGGGGTAGGACTTGACAAGCCTGGGCTTCTTCCTATCCCGTTTCGAACGAGTCCAATGTGTATTATATTGAAGTTGGCTTTTTATTTTTTATTTTTCTTTTCCATTTTTAAAATCATTTGTTCGTTCAAAATAAACAATAAAGAAGTTTACAGAAGTATAGAAGGAAATGTAACGCATTGTTTGCTCTTACAGCCTCTGTATCGAACAGACATTATTCACATCAGACTCTGAAGATTGTTTGAAGACTTTTTCCTTGAAAACCTTCTTTGAAAACTCCAATATTTGAACAAGAAGTGATTTGTTTTTTTGACAAAGCTGCCTGATCATCACCGGCCCATAGTAGGTAGACTGAGTCACAACAGTTAGAATTAAGTAAAGGCACATAATGCCTAAAACATATCCTCAAAAAATGAAGGAAACAAATCTTTAATTAAAAAAACTAAACAAAACAAAACAAAAAAAAAAACACAAATATATTCTAACTTCAAAAAAAAAAATCTAATTTAAACAGCACATATTAATTACTTTAAGCACCGTAATTTAAATTTTTTTAATAGCTTTTTTCCAGTAAAAAAAATAATTGTCTGTACTTTTCAGCTTCTCTTGACGCATCATTTTTAATTTTTCTGACGAATACAGTTCTAACAATCTTTCAAGTCTGTCTTAACACAAAGGTAACTTATATACACTTAAAGATCCATGGCAGTAAGGCTGTAAGAGCTCAAACTCTAAATTCATCTTCTCATCAGGCTAAACTAAATTAGCTACAGTCCTCTGACATATTGAAGAATCACTGACTCACCTGCTCTATCATTTTTTCACGCTCATCCACCAGCTTCCTCAGGCGAATCTCTGAAAGACAAAGCACACGTCTGAGAAAAGCTCACTAAACATCTTTGTCACACATCATCAGTTCTAATGGAGCATCACAGTGCAGCAAAATCACATCTCACAACAACAAATACAACTGGTCGATCTTTTGATGAAAAAAAAAAGAAGTTAACATACCAGGGGTGGGAGGAGCCAAGGAGATGGGAGGAAGGGGGCTGAGGATGATGCATGCAACAGAGCAGGCATCCATGGGGGAGTGATGGAGTGTGAAGGGGGTGGGGGGGTGTTAGCATGCACAAACTGTGGAGAGGAGGGTCAACGCAAGAGCACACAGCTTCTAGGGCTACAATCACAACATATGACCACACACAGTAAGGTACAATGAGACTGAAGTGTGAATGTGAACACCAAGATTAGTTTGAACTTTTCTTGCAAGGACCTTTACAGAAATGCATCTAGAGCATCGTTTCAGTTCAGTAACAGCAGGGAATTTATTGTCTTTTTTCCATTTAGTGCAACAAAACGCAAACATACATTTATATGCATTTCCTGTGCTTTGGAAACTAGTCAACAAAACCCTGTGAACAGGACGGGAGCTCTTGAAACTTTAAACTTCAACACTATGGCGAGAACGTGTAAAAGCTAGTTTGCTAGAGTCTCAACGAGAATTACGAGTTAACATTTTTATTTATTTGTTTTTATGATGCGAACACATGAATGACATCCTCGTATCGTCCGTTGGCTGTTGCAGAGCAATCTGATCGATGACATGACAAGCAGCATTACAAATGTGCATCAGAAACTTTATATATAACAAGTGCAGTATAATTTACAGTTAGTTAACATTTTAGATTCTCATCTTTCCACAAATAAAGTTTTTCTTTTCCTGTTTTTGCACAAACGGCATCAAAGACAAGACTCTAATAATATATGTACTTGCATCTAGCAAGTGCCGGTGAAGTTTTTCGCCTTTGTTGCGACTTTGCAAACAGCTAATCAAAGAACAGTGATGGGCAAATCAATATATAACTATACTCTAAGCCATCTGTAACTCAAGACATCTTACAGTCCTCCTTGCCCTTGCCTTTGCCTTTCTTGCTACTCTTCTTCCCATCCTTTCCTGGCTGTGGTGCCTCTTGGTTGCTGACCTCTTGAACTGGACCCTTTGGTAAATCCACATCTTCACCGTGCAGCTCATGCCTGACAGCATCTAATCCTTCCTCTACTAGTGAGAACACAGTTTGTTTGATGTTCTCTGCAACCACAGCCAGCCCTCCAACACTCGACACCTCCCCTTCCTCTGCTACGAGCCCTGGATCATCTGCTACACCCGCTTCTTCTTTCGGTTTGTCTTCCCGCTCTTCACAAACATTTTCCACCTCTTCACGTGCGGCTTCTACATTAACCAAAGACGGATTTGAGTTTTCATCTAGTGCATCGACCTGTTTATCCCCATCAACTGTACACTTGTCATCATTGCTTTCAGCTGGCTTGACTTGTGTATTTTCATTTGACTGAGTATTACTTTGACACAGCTCCAAACTACCACCGACGGTTTCATCCGACACGACTTCAACTCCCAACTCGACCTCTTCCTGTTCTGAGTTTTTGGAAAGTTCTGATTCTACAGCTGCTTCCATGTCCATCTCATCAAAATCAAAAGACATCCCTTCCTCGTCTTCGCCGTCGTCTTCGTCGCTGAGCAGTTGGGTGGGTCGAGATGAATCACTGTTCTCATGTTTGTCTTGGCTGTCATTCGGCTGCTCATCCAAAGAACAAAGAGATGACTCACTCTCCTTAACATGTTGAGTGTCTTTATGTTCTGAGTCTTGTGGAACGCCTGTCTCCTGCTCGATGCCAGAACCACTCTGAGACTGTGGTGTATCTAACTTGGCATTAGCATCGGTCTCCTCTGTTTTGTCTTTAGTTTTTGATTCTTTAGCCTCATCTATGTACTCTGATATTTTGCTTTCCGCATCATTCAACTGTTCGTCCTGCACTGCAGCCTCGACGCTCTCTCCAGAATCCAACACCTCTGTGGTACTTGTTAATGACGACGTTTTGTTACCGTCGCTTTTTTCATCGTGCGACGAGATGTCTGGTTCAACTGAATCTCCAGGTTCCTTCAAGTCACCATTCAGCTCCTCACTTCCTGTTCTGTCTTGATGAAAGCCTTCTTGTTCAGTCTCTGCTCCTGCCTCGCCATCATCTGCGACTGCCTCAGCTGCCTCTTCAGGAGCTTGATCAGAATCCTTCCTGGGAGGGTCATCGCTGCCCAGTTCGATGGCTGCAGGTGGATCTGATTCAGACGAGCTCTTTAAATCCTCATTGAAGTCCTCAGTGGATGGCAGTGAGACGGACGCGTCATCTTTACTATCAGGATTGTTTATGGATTCTGATTCATTAGCAGCAACATCATCATTGCTTGATTCGGCTTCAGTGTTTTCTTTACTGCTTGTTTCAACGCCATTTTCAGGCGTATCAGCTGTGCACTCAGATTTCATCTCATCAACAGACTCAACTTCTTCAACAGTTTCTGACTTGGTTTGGAGGACTTTGCTTTCAAAGTTATCGACACTTGAGATTGTCTTTGTATCAAGGCCATCGGTGCTCTCTGTATTGTTAGAGTTTAAGTCAGATTTACAAAGGTTGGTTTCAGTATCACAACTGGGTATAGAACCCCTTTCTTCTTCTTCTTCTTTCTCCATTTCTGATGTTTGTTTACCATCGTCTTCATCCTTTTTGGAATCTGTTGTGGATTCCTTGAGAGTTTCAGCAGTTGGTTCCACTGCCTCAACTGATTCTACCGTTTCTGTTTGTTCCTCGTTCTGTCCATCTGCAACATGATCCATTGTCACTACACTGGGATTTACTACTTCGACATCTTCCAGGGTCTTAGTTTCCGAAGTTTGTTCCTCGTTCTGTCCATCTGCAACATGATCACTGGGATTTACTACTTCGACATCTTCTAATGTCTTGGTTTCCGAAGTTTGTTTTTCGTCGTGCTCATTTGACAAATCATCCGTTCTTGGTTCTTGAAGACCTTCCGTGTTAGAAAAGGTTTGGGTTGGTTCAGCTGGTTCCACTGCGTCTACTTCCTCAGTTTCTCGCTTGTCTTGTTCATTCTCGACTTGATCCACCTTTGATTCAGTGACAGGACCAGCAGATTTAGGCTCTGCTGTAGCTCCATTACTTCTTGCAGCTGATTCTACATCTTTCTCCGCTTTGTTTTCCTTCTCTGTTCCGTCTTTCTGTTGGTTCTTGTTATCCTGAGCGCCTCCTTTCTTTTTGCCTTTCTTCTTCTTTTTCTTCTTTTTCCCAGAGGCAGACTTACTTGGTGTTTCCTCTGCCTCGATGTTGTCTGCCTCTTCGGCATTCTGAGGACCTTGTTGAGGTTCGGTGTTTGGTACAGCTGGGACGGACTCAGCAGATAAACCTTCTTTCAAAACATCTTGTGCAACGTTTTGCTGAGGACAAGGTTCTGTATTCGTTAAATTACTTTCATCTACACCTTCCTGCTTGTTGTCTTGGTTTGTAAAGAGGTCGGTATCCCTAACATCATCACTGTGTGTGTCAACACTACTATTTTTGGTTTCTGTCTGCTCTAAATCTGAGTAAGTGGTCTCTTTTAAATTCCCCCCCTCAGGTATTTCTGTTTCTGGAACATTTTCCTCAGGACTTGTTACAGGTTGAACATGATGAAGTTCAGGGCTGCAAACGATTATATCTTTGGCTTCTGTGGTTGGATTGTCATTACTGTCAACAGTGAAGTCCTCCTCTGTGGGTAAGCATGCCTGTTGTTCTTCCGATGGCTGTTTTTCACTAGTTGCATCCTTTGTGGACACATCGGCAGCATTACAGAGTTCAGAGTTCAGAGAGTCAAGTTCAGAGTTCAAGTGATTCTCTTTGACTTCCTGAAGCATTTCTTGTTGCTGCTCTGGATCCACCTCTTCCTCTCTGCTACTTCTCAACTCAGTCTCCTCTGTGTTGCCTGGGAGATCATGAAGAGCATACGATGATAGAGGGCCAAAAATAAACGCTGACTTAACACAAGACTTTCAACAATGTAATCTTCATCAGGAAGAGCATCAGCAGAAGTCAAAACAAGGCAGAACACCTGGCTGATTTGGTGGCCGGAAAGAAAGAGTAGCAAAGAGCCAAGATGATCGAGAGAAGCACAAGAAGGAAAAGAGAGGCAGGAGGAACACCGACATCAAGTCCTCGATCCCCAGTACTGCAGCATGACAAGAAAAGAAGCCGTACATATACAATGATCCATATAAATCTTTGCTACACAGTTGGCTTCTAATACGAACTCTCAGATGCTTAGGACCATTAAATCCTATCACCGAGATCTGTCGGCATGTACACACCAACAAATGTTGTATGAAGAGGTTAGTTGTGATTCAGAACAAGTATGCGTTTGCTGAAATGATGATAAAGGTGCAAGAGCCAAGACATTAGTACCAGAAGGCAAATCAAGTCTGTAATGGGATCTTAGTTGCTACAAAAAAAAAAAAGAAGCAAGAAGTGAGATAGAGGTTGCCGAAAGGATAAGACTGGTGATTCTGAATATTTTTTTGTCTCTCACTACCATTGTTTTGTCAGGACATGCATCTTAAAAAGAGCTCATCTTTAAACAAATCGCGACTCAACCAGTAGTATTTTAAATTAAGGGACTAATATCAGTTGTGGATTAACACACATTTGGTGCTCTAGTGATCGAAAACAATAATGGTAATGACGGCTCATGTCACCCAGGCCAACAGTGTGGCTCAATGATGCTTCTTCAGAAGTTTTTTGGAAAGTTTTTTGGTATCCTCTATAATCTGTTGATCTTCAGTAGACAGAGTTTAACTAGACTGATTCTGACAACTTTAGAACATCTCTATCATGTTGGTTTCACAGCAACAACCGAATGAACCCTGTGCTGAGGTTACTCGTAAGCTCACTCTGTTTCCAAAGCCTGAGGTTCATGAAAAATACAGAAAATCACCAGGGTTATCTTCTAAAAGTCAGTGCAAATCAGAGTTTAGGTGGCACTTGATGTTGCAGAAGCACAAAACTAGATACTGAAGAGTTTACTCCAAAACCAGACAATCACTTAAAGGTCAGATTGGAATGATGGAAGTATGTGCATACATGTAATCCCACTACTTGTATTAATTATTAATGTTTCAGGACTACTACAAAGCATTTTGGAGTGAAAGTCTTCAACTAGTCTTCTGCTAAGCCATGCAGGAGGAAGGAAAGCAGATTTAATTGGAGAGTGCGTTTTACCGAGCATGCTGTTCCCCTCTGTCGGGGAGGTCTGTGGATCCTGAGGTGATCGGGTAGCAGGGTCGGCACCGGGGGACCCGTCAACTTCTGCATCAACAACGTCCCCGTTGATGTTCAGATCAGGTCCCAACACTATTCCATGTTTCTACACAGTAGGAAGTCAAACATTAACACCGACGATCACACACGGAAATAACATTTGGTTGAAGTGAAAAAAGAAAACGATTGTCAAAACAGTCAAAGTATGGTGAGGTTTTTCGCACAGCGAGTACCTTCAGAATATCCTTCAGCTGCACCACCTCTTCTCTGAGTTCATCTCGCTCAATTCGGATTGCATCTGTGTATTCTTTCTGTCGCTCTAAGGCCTGAGCGGAGCCCCCGAGTGGCAGAGTGCAAAAGAAAGTGACAACAAAAGTGCAGAAGAAGTGAAAGTGAAAACAGGCATCCAGTGTCATGCAAAGAAGAAACTGAATTCATGTGAGTTAAAGTCACTGCTGAATGTGATTAAATCAATAAAACGGCAGCATCGCGGCTCGTAGGCCATACCCCAATTTTTTTATCCTTCCACTCCACAGTCTCCTGCAGATCAGATATTTCTCTAACAAAACCATCCTGTTTCAAACGCAGCTGGCGGATGTCCTAAACAGCAGGAAAAGGAAAAGGTGAAAGAAGAGAAAATTAAAGGAACAGCAGAGTAAGGATTTACTGTGTGAAAAGAAAAGGAAACAGTGACATGCACCTCAACATGCAGCCTTCCTAACCAAAGTAACAGGACACACCTTTTTTCATTTATTTTTTTTGTAAACATGTGTCTTTTGAACCCAGGAGGTGAGCTTTCTCTGCACCGTGTTTCACACTCATAATGACACATGTTCACACTGAGGGACAAACACTCACATTTAACAGCTCTTCACTTTGTTTCAGCGTCTCTTTCATTTCATTGAACTGGAACTGAAGCACTCCGTGTGCATACTTCTCTCGCTCGTATTCCTGTGGGGAAACAACAGACAGCTTGACAACCAGCAACCCGACTTGTTTTCATCTTTTAACATCAGAAACACAACAGGCCAAGAAAAAAGGCTACAGAAAAGCTGCTTCTGTCACTGTTCAATGTGATCTCTTAATCTGATTCTTTTTGATCTAATAGTTAAATAAGAGAACTGTATTATGTGCTTTACAAATAATAACAACAATAAATGTTTTACTGCAATTTTGAACAACATCCTGCTGTACCTTGACTTTCTCCTCGTATTCCCGGCGTGACTCCGACAGCAGCTCCTCCAGCTCCATGAGTGAGTCTTTGAGTGTGTCCACCTGGTACATTAGATTGTTCTTCTCATTGTCCAGCTGAGCGTTGGACACCATGGCCTTGCGATACTTCTCCTCCACTTCTGCTAATGTGTCCTAATGGAAGGACAGACAGACCGTAATAGGTGTGAGCTCAGGTATGTCATGTCCTCAAACAAAACTGCAGAGTCGAGCTTTCCTCTTTTAGGTGCGGTTGATAAACAGATGAAGTTTGCAGGAAAGGATGGATGCAGCTGGCAGACAAGAAGACCTGTTCTCTTGTCTGTATGATGCAAGTTCTGGTATTTGAAAGTCAGGAAAGACTCACATGCTAACACACACACACACATCGGCATCAAGACAGATAGGGAAATGCAGAGGGGACTTTCAAAGTTTGATCAGCAGTTTGCATTTTCACAAGTTAGAAAACGAACGTACTAATTATGCCTCATGCCAGGCTCAGACAACAGAAGGTTAAAATCCAGAACGTATTTTGAAATTCGGTGGCGTTACACACGAGGAACAACGTCACAAACTTCTCTCGAATTTCAGACATGTCCACACTACAAGATTTATAAGTAATAGCACTTGTTTAGTATGAGATTTTATTAAGATTATCATGTTAGAGGGAGCAGTGCTTCAACTTCACATTATCTCATGCAAACAAAATAGAGACAAAATAGAAACGCTAACAACACTTTGCTGTGAGACAAATTAAAGCATAAGGTTAAACAAGTCGGGATGAGAAAGAAATGGAGGTGTTTGGTGGTACTTGTCTGATGCTCTGAGCAGCAGCGTGATAAATGTAATCATCCTGATTTCAGCTGCTAAATATCATGTTTGATATCATCAGGGCGGCCCTGACCAGTCTGCAGCCACTTTGGAGCTGGTGACAGGGTAGTGTGATCCCAGCATTAACACAGACGGAGCATTTAAGCCTCACAAAAGCACTGCAGTTAAATTAATACCCATGTGTGTCAGTGTTTTCTGTGGTCTGGAGCACTACTATTAACACCTAAAACACTGCAGATGAGGCAAATGTTTTACACTTAGGAAAACAGAGCAGTCACTGTTTGTTCCAGTTTTAATTTAAAAACTTCTGAATTATCCAATTACAGGTTGGTTTGTTCATCTGTGGTGGAGGAAGTCTGTGCTTTTTGTTGTTTGACAATGTATAGAAAACAACAACAACAACAACAAAACTGCACAATAACCAGTTCAAGTTAGGGGCAGCAAACCTATTGGTTAACAGCGTAAATCTGGGAGCTCTGGGAGGGGTTCAGGTATATACCTTCACTTCTTTTAGGTTCTGCGTGTACTTGCTTTCCACATCTTGAATTTGATCCTTCAGTTCATGAATCTCCTGGTAAAGAGCGCAGCAGCAGTGAGCAGAGAAGCACAGTGGGACATCAGCAGTGACGATGAAGATGAAGCAGAAAGTTTGGTGACAAGACGATGAAAACAAAAGTGCTTTCTAAGAAATGATAAAATGAACAGCAAGATGGGGGCTGGAGCCTATCCCAGCTGACTGAGGGAGACGTCCATTACAAGGCCAACTTGACTGCACTTGAAAATGTTGAATTAAAGCCAAAAATGAATCCACTTGTGTATAGCTGTAAGCTCATTTATCTGGAATGGTGGACAAGGAGTTAAAAAGATTTTACTTAAGTTGCTGAAATAGTGATGAAGAGGGAAACACCTTTAAAGCATGCCCTTAACAAATTGTGGTCTCAATTATAAAATTCAGCAATTACTAACTGAACGTCAACTTGATTTGTTCGGTAATAAATTCTTGTTTTCATACTAATTTTGTCTTTCAATGGGGTGTAACGCTAATGACTGACCTCTGCCCACACGATCTTACCTTTATTTCTCTTATGGAGCTCTCTGCATCAACAGTTAGAGCCGTCTCTCCGCTTCCTCTCCGGGAAGACGACCCGCCTAAGGAGGTGAGTGTTCCTGCTGTTAAGGCAGAAGCTGCTCGAGATCCCTGACGAAGCAGAAAAACACACAATTAAAATCCCTTGTTTCAGTGCAAATATTCCAACACACTTCCAGTCACTATTCTTCCTAAGACAGATGTCGCTTTATGCATGTTGAGTTCCAAAACAAAGGCAGGATTTGGGGTTGTGACTTACTCACCTTCTCGAGATAATCTCTGTCCTCCACCTGTTGAGACAAATAAACAGTCAGAGCGAGCAGAAATAAGAGACAAAGGAAATAAGGGACAAAAGAGGAAAGTCCCACAATCGTTACTGCAGCAAGCCCAGCAGTGACTGAAGAATCATCTTCACACCACCTGACCTTGAAGTATTCCAATCTACTGCCAAACATACTACAAACAGGCACAAGTTTACTTCCGTGTGTAACACCATGCAAACAATTAGTATGGGTGATGTCAAAACTCAAAGCTGATTAGACAAAAGATCCACAATACGCCACCTTTAATTGTTACCCAACACACACACAGCATCTTGTCACGAGACAGGAATGGTGGTCTCCACTTTTTTGTCAACACACAAATTAACCTCTGACACAAACCCAGTGTGCAGTCGCCCCACTCGGTAGGGCAAAGCGCACAGAAAAGGAAGGACGGGTGGCAAAACAAAGCAACCGAGCAGGAACTCGACTCACGCTACGATCCCGGCTTCCTGTGCGTGCAAAGCGACTCACATCAGAAAAGTCAGGAATAGTAACGTCGTCCAGGTCCCTGGGGAGGCCACTGCCGCTGGCCGCGCTTCTCAAGAAACTGGCAACAGAGCTGCAGTTGTCCTACATCGGCCACCAGGGGGCGAAACACAACAACAAAGAAGCCAGACGCTCAGAGGAAGTCTACACTTCTGGAAACATCAAAAGCTTCACTAAAAATGCACATGAGGAAGTGAAACGGTAGACTCTTTATCATTTGTATTATTTCTAGAAGTTTATACAGCTTTACTCTTAGACCGAACCGTCCCTGACTGAAAAGTGCTTAAATGTAACTGTTTTGATTTGGTCAGAGAAAGTAAAGTGAGTTGCATGTATGAAATAAAAACAGCTGGAGATGATTCTTAGCTTGTTTGGCTTAATTTTGTACATTTACAAGACGGACTCAAGTGCTTGTGTTAATAAATGTGCATTTTTCCTTCTTAAATAAAATAAACATAAAAATAAAAAAAGGACAACTACATTAATGACGACATAGTTCTAACAAAAATGCATAGAATCAGATAATATAGTGACAATTAGTAACAATACTTGGATCAAGAGGTACATGTTCCATTTTGCTTCAGAAATTCACGGCTGATAAATCAGTGGACACCAAAACTTTTATTTTATTTTTTTAAAGCAACATTTTAGGGACTGCATCTATAATTAATAAGCCTTAGTCTCTCTGTGGCTACAGGCTTGTGACAGATGGCTCCAATCAGCGACTGTACTGCAGCTCAGTGAGCTGCTCGGATGACCACAGGCGCTGGACTTCTACTATAGATCTCATAGTTACTTTAAACTGATGTCCTTAATGTCTGTCTCTGCCTTTGTGAAGCGCTATGAGATGACTTGTTGTTGTTAATATGCGCTATACAAATAAAATTGAATTGAATTGAATTGAATTGAATTGAATTGAACTTGCAGGGAGTTCAGCTTCAATTCATGATTCACTAACATGATACCAAGCTGTAAACAACCTGCAGCTGCAGTACAGTACAGGTTTACCAGGAAATACCTGCTGGAACTCTCCACAATGTTTTCATCTTGGAGAATTGTGCACACCATGCCAACTCTGAGTCACTGAACACAGACTCATTGTGTATCTACTTCCTCCTCTGTCCAACAGTAAAATCATAAACTAAATGTTGTGGTCTAAGTGCATGAAGGCTCTCAGCATATTCAGTGTTGTCTATACAAAACATGTGGGTTAATCCAGTTTAAACCTTGGGAACCAGGATGTCTGGTGAAGGAATGCTCACCACTGGGCTAGCGCGGGCTGAACTGGCCCTGCTGGAGGCTCTGGAGCCGGAGCTGCGATAACTAGTGTGTTCTAAAGGCTGCAGACAAAGAGATAGTTACGGTTTTGTCACCAAAAAGCATGCAAACACCCACGCTGATGACACTGCTACCTACATATGCAATCTAAATCACGACCTTAGTGGAGTAATAATGTGCATTTAGTGTCCAACACATAAGAAAATAATGTCTTTGAATACTTAAGACTTAAATTAAACCATATCAAGAACCAAAAGAACTTCCATGCAGCATCTAAAACCAACAGAGAACAAAACAAACACGCAAGACCCACCATAATATTTCCCCACATATTTACGCTCAGATTAAATTCATGTGCTCCATTCTTCTAGTTAACTGTAGAGTCAACCCAGACGGTGTTAACATGTCTAACTTTTTATGATTAACCAGGTCACACACGTGCATCACACCCAACTGCACCACGATTCCGACAAACTCTTACATGGGAGCTGGAGCCGAGGACTCGCCGTGACCCGCTGCAGAGGCTGTCTTCATACAAGGAGCTCTGCACATGTGGCACGTCACACACACACATAGAGGGTAAGAAGTGTGCTCAAGCTTCAGCAGGTTGAGCCACAAGATGTACATTTCATTAAGTGCTTTTCTGCTCCAGTGAAAAGCTGTGACTGCCCTCAGTGCCTGATGTGTCTTTATTTAAAACTCAAGTACACAGAACAGTTGCATCAATGAGTGAATTGAAAAAGTGATGAAGCCTTTTTAACTTAAATGTCAAATCCTCTGCTCTAGAGACAAACAAGGAGAGTTTTAGTTAAACATGCTGGTGTGGATGAAGGATTGCAGGTGTCAGTTAACGCTGAGTGTGGCAGGGTAAGCTGGAAATGATGGGAACCAACCCTACGATAGAGCTGCTGGGTGATCTGACTGAGTGACCTGTAGAACTACAGAGAGGGATGGAGCGGAAAGAGAGAATGATTTTGCAAGAGAAATGACAGCAGACAAACAAAAAGAGCGTACATCTTTGTATTCTCTTGACTTTTGACTCCTCCGAAGAGGGTTGATAATTAGGGGAAAGCCGCAGGAATTAAACTGTTCCTTCAAATGTCTGGCGTCTATCTGCATACAGACCTGATAACCATTGAAAGTTGAACCTGGATTCCTGGAAGAACTGAGGCTGTACATGTCGGAAGAGGCATAAGAGGCCTGAAATGAGGAGATGGAAGCCAGAGAGAGCGATGAGCCAAGATAAGGAAGGAAATGAATGAGCACAACAGATAGGAGGTTTACAAGAAGCATTTAGAAAGTCACCCAGCTTTTAACATGTCGTTATACTACGCAAGAGTGCAGAAGTGTGAGTGCAGTGTAAGTTTGCAACTTTGGAGCAGCCTTGCTAAAAAAAAGTTCAATAGTAAGTACACAAAATTATTTCTGGAAGTCACAAATGCAGCTTGTCTTCAATGCAAAGACGAAAAACAAGGCGTAAACAACAACATAGAGACCCAGACTCCAACACCACAATAAGAAATTCAAACTACATGCACCGAAAAGTGTTACAAAAACGTTAGCAACACGCTCCACTAGAAATATTCCAGTGAAAATATGCAAAACCTTCGGAGGTTAATACAGTAACAGCTAACAATCCGGCGCATTCAGTTAACAGAGATAACTTTAGACAGAGCGTGCAACAGGCTTTTGTGACAGCCGACCAGTTCCAGTGCAGTGCCACCCACCGGCTGCAGGTCTAATCTGGATGCTCGAGACACTCGGCTGTCATCGCCCAGCATGGAGCTCTGAGAGGCAGGGAGCACAGGTGACAACATCAAAACGCTGCAGGGGCAAAACCTAAAGTCCTCTCATCCTTCTGACGGCACACAGATGTGTTTTTAACAGCACTGAGTTCAGCTTTATGGCGAAGTGTGGCTGTTACTTTGAAAGTTACTGCTATAAATGTTAGGTCTAAATCAAAGTGAACATGTTGCTTACAGAGATTTAGTGAAACACTTGTCAGGGGCAGAAACAATACGATCATTACTGAGTGATGTTTTCAGATCACGTAAGATGAGATCATATGCGGAAAGTAAATGGAAAAAGTTGCTGACTTTTATACATTTACATTTTATAATTCAACCAGGATTAAACAATTTCATGTTGCCCATTCTTTCAGTTGCTTTAACTCAGACTTTCATCTATTGCTGCCTTCTACAGGCCGTCAAAATCAAATCCTGATCTCTTTTTTTGGCGTCAACCAATTACCAGCTTGGCCGATTATCAGATCTGATATTCAGGATTTTTCATATTATCTGCAACATCCTCTTTTCTTACAAAAAAAAGCTAATTTAAAAATGGCTCTGAAGCAGCTGCTCTGAGGTCTGTACTATGTCCCATCCAGAGCACTGACTGGTTACATGTCACATCAACACTGATGCTAAATGCTAAAAAGTCCTTTTTAAATCTACATTTATAAAGAAAAGTATTTATTTATCAAATCACTTTGATTACTAATAACTGGGATTAGTAGTGACCCTAAAAACATACCTGTCAAATACTCAATTAAATCATTTTGGACCAAACCAGTGTATAAAAGAAAAGGGAATTTGGAAATGTAGTTTCTTTTAAGACATATTTTTCAAGGACCAAGCAATCTCTAACGGCTGTAATTACAGACTGTGATTGTACTTGACAGTTTTTGTGTAACAGCAAAACATCAACACTGTCAGGTTACTAACGTCACAACAAATCACTGAGCTTTTCTGTCTCCATCCTGCAGTTTGCCTTAAAACAACCATGACCCTCAACACACGCCATCTGGTTCATCAAGCCAAAAGCAAAGTCACACATTGTTCTAATGAGGCAAAAAAAAAAAACTAATCATAAAGCTAATTATAAAGAGGATCGGAGGTGGCCAACACGCACCGTCAGGTCTAGCCTGGAGGAACGAGACACTCTGCTTTCATCGCTGAGTCTTGAGCTCTGCAGCACGACAGAGAGGAGAGTCACGGGTGACGTAATGCAAACTTTCTTTCTCCAAGTGGTACCATGCTGTTAATGAATGTAAACAGTCCCGTACTCTACAAGAGACCAAACGCCCCTACAGTCAGTGTGGCACACAGCTACTAACCCTGCTGGACATGACGCTGTAATCGTCATCATAGCCGTTTCTCTGCGAATAAAGAACAAGAATGAGACGCGGCGTGATCATTTCTGGCCACATGTGTGCAGGTATAGTTTGAGCTTTCGCATACATCTCTGTCTTTGTGCTTATGCTTCTTCTTTTTCTTTGACTTCTTGTGTAAGGAGGAGCCCTTGGAGGGAGAGAAAGAGGAAGACGACAGTGACGTATAAAACCCGAGTTGTCTGGAAAAGTGCCGAAGCAAAACCAAAGCAACACACACGGTACATGCACGGACACATTTAGCCAAATATCCAGATTGTGCTATTTTTCCACAAGGAAAGAAAAAAAAAAAAAAACAGCACTTAACACTGAGAGCCATAACAGAGCCTAAAATAGTGCAGACTGTGTTTTGGTTGGAGAAAGATAGCTCTTAAACACACTGTTCTCTTTGACAAAAATCAAATCTATCACCAAGGTAGTCAATGTTCCTGTACAACAGTAAAAACAAGTCCTGGGCCAAACATAATCACCTGACAGAAGTTAGTCGGCATGTATTTGCTTTATTCTACATCTTGGAACAATTTATCTGATTATAAACGATCTACAAGACAAACCATAAAAGGCATTGCTTCACTTGCATCCTATATATAGTTATAGGTAGAACATAAAACACGATGTGTGCCATGCAATGTATGATAAAGGGAGGCGTAAGATGTGACTCCTTCTGTAAATCAGTCATTTCCTTCTGTTGTTAGTCCAAAAACAATCCGTCCACAACAAATCTTTAAGGGGGTTAAGAACCAATCCAGAGTCTGTGTTTCAACGACCCTTACCCCTCCTCCATAAGCCCCGACTGCATCGAGATCCGACTGTGCGAGAGACAACAACACCGTCACCAAAAAAGTACCACCCACACTGACGGCACCTTGTTAGGTTGCCAAGAACAGACACGCTGCCTCCACATCAGCAAAGGATCAGGAGGACAAGGTCTGTCTTTGTGAATCGAAAAGCATAAAGGTATGCGATGACGACTGAGAGAGGGTTTTTTGAATTTTTATTACATGTGCTGTTTGAGTGATACTGACCCTGACGCTGCCCCGGCTTCCCACCGACATCCGCTCATCTTCGTCTGAGAGCTGCGTGAGAGGACGAGAGATTGAAATGGATGGTTAGGGTTTTGAGAATGGACACAATGTACGACTTACGTCACCGAGAAGTGGATTCTGACAGGAGGCCTCTTGCTGCAAAGACAAGTGGCTCCAGTGACTCATTCAGTCATTTTCTCGGAGACCTTTTCCTTTTATTGGGATCATCTTCTTACGTACTTATGATAGTTACAGAAAAATAGCAAACCACAGCTAAAATGTACTGTGGCTTTATTCAGTGCTTTGCAACGTTTCTCAAGATAAACATGTCTGTGTGACAGCCGGCAAGCAAAGAGTTGTAACTTTATAAGAACATGAAGGTATATTTCTAAATATACATATTGAAATCCAGCAGGGTCTGTCTGTAGAGTAATCCACATAAAGGCCTCTCTTCTGCTCAGATAACTGTTTCACTATGTGCGATAAATAGTCTGTTGTCTCACTACAGGTTTTTATGTGCTGGATATAGCAACCAGCATCTACATACTGAGTTGCTCCCCACTGAAATTCCTCAATGTGATGTGAATATTCCCCAAATGACAGAAGACAAGATTACAGAGGAAAATGCATGAGGAGATGGAAACAGAGAGGGAAGACTACAAACCGTTTGTATCCGTGAAGAACGTGAGTATCTCTCACTGTCCTCCTGGATGAGGGAGGAAGGAAGGGTGAAGACGGAGACGAGAGGGGAGGAAGGATGTGAAGGAGGAGAGAGATGTCAAAGGTCAACGAGATGACAAGATGGATGAAGAAGAAGAAAAGCGGTCGCTTGTGTCACACTGTTAAAGTCAGTCTCATCCAGTGGTGTCCAGTCCATTAAGTCATTCTAAAAATAGTAATTAAAATCTGTTTTCATTTCATTTAAGGCGGTATTGTTATTAAGGTATGACCAGTACATTTATGCAATCAGGGATGGGTTCAGATATCAGTTCCCTTCTGGATCCTGTTTCAAAGTTGTAAAAGTTTCACATTTCACAACGCATTCTGTAACAAATCTTTCAATTGTGATCTTTCTAAGACTCTCATTGGCCTATTTCTGAGTCTATAGGCACCTGCAAAAGTAAAAAAAATAAAAAAAGTCCTTTGCTAAGGTATTCATTTGCAGTTCTTGAAGTTAAAGTAAGAATACAAGAACACACAGTATATTATATTTTAAAACCCATCAGATTCTTCAACCTGCAGCAGTCCAACAAGTTTAGCTAATGTTAAGTGACTTGTGCAGGTAGAATGATGTGAGATTCATTGAGTTGATATTTGCCGAGCGACAAAGTAGAATAAACAACGTTTCTGCTTCTGCACCTGCAGCACAGTGCTGAGCAAAGGATGTTTTCCAGTGCATGAAAAATAAGTCAAGACCCTCTCTGTGGACGTATAACACTGAGCAAAATAAAAATAGTGCATGCTTATTTCACATGTCCTCATTCCAGGAACCACGTAAAAAGATTAAATGCAGGATTTGGGTTCAGATTGGATGAGATACTATTGAACCTGATTGCCAGTATGTAGACTTTGTTGTATTGGACTTGACACCACAAGAGGAGCAACAGTTTGAGCTTCATAGTTTATCTGAATCCATTTGTACAATGCATGTGCTATCCCAGGACAATGACAAATCTTTTCCAAGGCCTGGCATAAAAAGAACGCTTGCTTAGAATCAGCCATGCCTATAAATCCACAGTTAACCAGTAATCCAGCAAACACACAATTAGGTTCAACCGCATGCCAAGAGTGTCCAAATGAACGTATTGTCATTCAAACTGTTGTTGACACCACACAGTTTCATGAAGTCATATCACTTCCTGTTTACTTAAAACACACCGTGGTTAATCACACTGCAAGTCACACATACCGAGTATCCTCAACCTCTCTAATGATCAGGGACGACTAAAACTAAGTAACTCGGAGGGCGCACTCAACACAGCAAATCCCATGCAAGTCTCACACCGACGGGGCAGATGGTCATGCTGATTCCGAGCCAAACGGCCACCCCGCTCCTCTGAATAAGTGGATTATCATTAATGGCCAAGCTTTGATTCATTATAATCCCTTATTTTCCAAAAAAGGCTTAACGGGAATTATCTGGAATTCAAAGGCAGACGCTGTGAAAGCCGACAGGAAGTACGGCTTCAGAATATGTACGGAGGCATGCGCTGAATTTAGTACACGATTAGATATGTTTTCAGTGTTGTCATCACAGCACACAAACTGTACCATCCATTGTTCAATATCTCCCCATTTGCTGTCCGATCGGTCGTCTATTTTGGTGTTCAGGCCGTAGTATTTCTAAGGAGAGATGAAAGATGAGGGCGAGAAGANGTAGCTCCATTACTTCTTGCAGCTGATTCTACATCTTTCTCCGCTTTGTTTTCCTTCTCTGTTCCGTCTTTCTGTTGGTTCTTGTTATCCTGAGCGCCTCCTTTCTTTTTGCCTTTCTTCTTCTTTTTCTTCTTTTTCCCAGAGGCAGACTTACTTGGTGTTTCCTCTGCCTCGATGTTGTCTGCCTCTTCGGCATTCTGAGGATCTTGTTGAGGTTCGGTGTTTGGTACAGCTGGGACGGACTCAGCAGATAAACCTTCTTTCAAAACATCTTGTGCAACGTTTTGCTGAGGACAAGGTTCTGTATTCGTTAAATTACTTTCATCTACACCTTCCTGCTTGTTGTCTTGGTTTGTAAAGAGGTCGGTATCCCTAACATCATCACTGTGTGTGTCAACACTACTATTTTTGGTTTCTGTCTGCTCTAAATCTGAGTAAGTGGTCTCTTTTAAATTTCCCCCCTCAGGTATTTCTGTTTCTGGAACATTTTCCTCAGGACTTGTTACAGGTTGAACATGATGAAGTTCAGGGCTGCAAACGATTATATCTTTGGCTTCTGTGGTTGGATTGTCTTTATTGTCAACAGTGAAGTCCTCCTCTGTGGGTAAGCATGCCTGTTGTTCTTCCGATGGCTGTTTTTCACTAGTTGCATCCTTTGTGGACACATCGGCAGCATTACAGAGTTCAGAGTTCAGAGAGTCAAGTTCAGAGTTCAAGTGATTCTCTTTGACTTCCTGAAGCATTTCTTGTTGCTGCTCTGGATCCACCTCTTCCTCTCTGCTACTTCTCAACTCAGTCTCCTCTGTGTTGCCTGGGAGATCATGAAGAGCATACGATGATAGAGGGCCAAAAATAAACGCTGACTTAACACAAGACTTTCAACAATGTAATCTTCATCAGGAAGAGCATCAGCAGAAGTCAAAACAAGGCAGAACACCTGGCTGATTTGGTGGCCGGAAAGAAAGGGTAGCAAAGAGCCAAGATGATCGAGAGAAGCACAAGAAGGAAAAGAGAGGCAGGAGGAACACCGACATCAAGTCCTCGATCCCCAGTACTGCAGCATGACAAGAAAAGAAGCCGTACATATACAATGATCCATATAAATCTTTGCTACACAGTTGGCTTCTAATACGAACTCTCAGATGCTTAGGACCATTAAATCCTATCACCGAGATCTGTCGGCACGTACACACCAACAAATGTTGTATGAAGAGGTTAGTTGTGATTCAGAACAAGTATGCGTTTGCTGAAATGATGATAAAGGTGCAAGAGCCAAGACATTAGTACCAGAAGGCAAATCAAGTCTGTAATGGGATCTTAGTTGCTACAAAAAAAAAAAAGAAGCAAGAAGTGAGATAGAGGTTGCCGAAAGGATAAGACTGGTGATTCTGAATATTTTTTTGTCTCTCACTACCATTGTTTTGTCAGGACATGCATCTTAAAAAGAGCTCATCTTTAAACAAATCGCGACTCAACCAGTAGTATTTTAAATTAAGGGACTAATATCAGTTGTGGATTAACACACATTTGGTGCTCTAGTGATCGAAAACAATAATGGTAATGACGGCTCATGTCACCCAGGCCAACAGTGTGGCTCAATGATGCTTTTTCAGAAGTTTTTTGGAAAACAATGGAGCTCTGTGGTATCCTCTATGATCTGTTGATCTTTAGTCGACAGAGTTTAACTAGATATTCAATCAGATGACTGATTCTGATAACTTTAGGACATCTCTGTCATGTTGGTTTCACAGCAACAACCGAATGAACCCTGTGCTGAGGTTACTCGTAAGCTCACTCTGTTTCCAAAGCCTGAGGTTCATGAAAAATACAGAAAATCACCAGGGTTATCTTCTAAAAGTCAGTGCAAATCAGAGTTTAGGTGGCACTTGATGTTGCAGAAGCACAAAACTAGATACTGAAGAGTTTACTCCAAAACCAGACAATCACTTAAAGGTCAGATTGGAATGATGGAAGTATGTGCATACATGTAATCCCACTACTTGTATTAATTATTAATGTTTCAGGACTACTACAAAGCATTTTGGAGTGAAAGTCTTCAACTAGTCTTCTGCTAAGCCATGCAGGAGGAAGGAAAGCAGATTTAATTGGAGAGTGCGTTTTACCGAGCATGCTGTTCCCCTCTGTCGGGGAGGTCTGTGGATCCTGAGGTGATCGGGTAGCAGGGTCGGCACCGGGGGACCCGTCAACTTCTGCATCAACAACGTCCCCGTTGATGTTCAGATCAGGTCCCAACACTATTCCATGTTTCTACACAGTAGGAAGTCAAACATTAACACCGACGATCACACACGGAAATAACATTTGGTTGAAGTGAAAAAAGAAAACGATTGTCAAAACAGTCAAAGTATGGTGAGGTTTTTCGCACAGCGAGTACCTTCAGAATATCCTTCAGCTGCACCACCTCTTCTCTGAGTTCATCTCGCTCAATTCGGATTGCATCTGTGTATTCTTTCTGTCGCTCTAAGGCCTGAGCGGAGCCCCCGAGTGGCAGAGTGCAAAAGAAAGTGACAACAAAAGTGCAGAAGAAGTGAAAGTGAAAACAGGCATCCAGTGTCATGCAAAGAAGAAACTGAATTCATGTGAGTTAAAGTCACTGCTGAATGTGATTAAATCAATAAAACGGCAGCATCGCGGCTCGTAGGCCATACCCCAATTTTTTTATCCTTCCACTCCACAGTCTCCTGCAGATCAGATATTTCTCTAACAAAACCATCCTGTTTCAAACGCAGCTGGCGGATGTCCTAAACAGCAGGAAAAGGAAAAGGTGAAAGAAGAGAAAATTAAAGGAACAGCAGAGTAAGGATTGACTGTGTGAAAAGAAAAGGAAACCGTGACATGCACCCCAACATGCAGCCTTCCTAACCAAAGTAACAGGACACACCTTTTTTATTTCATTTTTTTGTAAATGTGTGTCTTGTAAACCCAGGAGGTGAGCTTTCTCTGCACCGTGTTTCACACTCATAATGACACATGTTCACACTGAGGGACAAACACTCACATTTAACAGCTCTTCACTTTGTTTCAGCGTCTCTTTCATTTCATTGAACTGGAACTGAAGCACTCCGTGTGCATACTTCTCTCGCTCGTATTCCTGTGGGGAAACAACAGACAGCTTGACAACCAGCAACCCGACTTGTTTTCATCTTTTAACATCAGAAACACAACAGGCCAAGAAAAAAGGCTACAGAAAAGCTGCTTCTGTCACTGTTCAATGTGATCTCTTAATCTGATTCTTTTTGATCTAATAGTTAAATAAGAGAACTGTATTATGTGCTTTACAAATAATAACAACAATAAATGTTTTACTGCAATTTTGAACAACATCCTGCTGTACCTTGACTTTCTCCTCGTATTCCCGGCGTGACTCCGACAGCAGCTCCTCCAGCTCCATGAGTGAGTCTTTGAGTGTGTCCACCTGGTACATTAGATTGTTCTTCTCATTGTCCAGCTGAGCGTTGGACACCATGGCCTTGCGATACTTCTCCTCCACTTCTGCTAATGTGTCCTAATGGAAGGACAGACAGACCGTAATAGGTGTGAGCTCAGGTATGTCATGTCCTCAAACAAAACTGCAGAGTCGAGCTTTCCTCTTTTAGGTGCGGTTGATAAACAGATGAAGTTTGCAGGAAAGGATGGATGCAGCTGGCAGACAAGAAGACCTGTTCTCTTGTCTGTATGATGCAAGTTCTGGTATTTGAAAGTCAGGAAAGACTCACATGCTAACACACACACACACATCGGCATCAAGACAGATAGGGAAATGCAGAGGGGACTTTCAAAGTTTGATCAGCAGTTTGCATTTTCACAAGTTAGAAAACGAACGTACTAATTATGCCTCATGCCAGGCTCAGACAACAGAAGGTTAAAATCCAGAACGTATTTTGAAATTCGGTGGCGTTACACACGAGGAACAACGTCACAAACTTCTCTCGAATTTCAGACATGTCCACACTACAAGATTTATAAGTAATAGCACTTGTTTAGTATGAGATTTTATTAAGATTATCATGTTAGAGGGAGCAGTGCTTCAACTTCACATTATCTCATGCAAACAAAATAGAGACAAAATAGAAACGCTAACAACACTTTGCTGTGAGACAAATTAAAGCATAAGGTTAAACAAGTCGGGATGAGAAAGAAATGGAGGTGTTTGGTGGTACTTGTCTGATGCTCTGAGCAGCAGCGTGATAAATGTAATCATCCTGATTTCAGCTGCTAAATATCATGTTTGATATCATCAGGGCGGCCCTGACCAGTCTGCAGCCACTTTGGAGCTGGTGACAGGGTAGTGTGATCCCAGCATTAACACAGACGGAGCATTTAAGCCTCACAAAAGCACTGCAGTTAAATTAATACCCATGTGTGTCAGTGTTTTCTGTGGTCTGGAGCACTACTATTAACACCTAAAACACTGCAGATGAGGCAAATGTTTTACACTTAGGAAAACAGAGCAGTCACTGTTTGTTCCAGTTTTAATTTAAAAACTTCTGAATTATCCAATTACAGGTTGGTTTGTTCATCTGTGGTGGAGGAAGTCTGTGCTTTTTGTTGTTTGACAATGTATAGAAAACAACAACAACAACAACAAAACTGCACAATAACCAGTTCAAGTTAGGGGCAGCAAACCTATTGGTTAACAGCGTAAATCTGGGAGCTCTGGGAGGGGTTCAGGTATATACCTTCACTTCTTTTAGGTTCTGCGTGTACTTGCTTTCCACATCTTGAATTTGATCCTTCAGTTCATGAATCTCCTGGTAAAGAGCGCAGCAGCAGTGAGCAGAGAAGCACAGTGGGACATCAGCAGTGACGATGAAGATGAAGCAGAAAGTTTGGTGACAAGACGATGAAAACAAAAGTGCTTTCTAAGAAATGATAAAATGAACAGCAAGATGGGGGCTGGAGCCTATCCCAGCTGACTGAGGGAGACGTCCATTACAAGGCCAACTTGACTGCACTTGAAAATGTTGAATTAAAGCCAAAAATGAATCCACTTGTGTATAGCTGTAAGCTCATTTATCTGGAATGGTGGACAAGGAGTTAAAAAGATTTTACTTAAGTTGCTGAAATAGTGATGAAGAGGGAAACACCTTTAAAGCATGCCCTTAACAAATTGTGGTCTCAATTATAAAATTCAGCAATTACTAACTGAACGTCAACTTGATTTGTTCGGTAATAAATTCTTGTTTTCATACTAATTTTGTCTTTCAATGGGGTGTAACGCTAATGACTGACCTCTGCCCACACGATCTTACCTTTATTTCTCTTATGGAGCTCTCTGCATCAACAGTTAGAGCCGTCTCTCCGCTTCCTCTCCGGGAAGACGACCCGCCTAAGGAGGTGAGTGTTCCTGCTGTTAAGGCAGAAGCTGCTCGAGATCCCTGACGAAGCAGAAAAACACACAATTAAAATCCCTTGTTTCAGTGCAAATATTCCAACACACTTCCAGTCACTATTCTTCCTAAGACAGATGTCGCTTTATGCATGTTGAGTTCCAAAACAAAGGCAGGATTTGGGGTTGTGACTTACTCACCTTCTCGAGATAATCTCTGTCCTCCACCTGTTGAGACAAATAAACAGTCAGAGCGAGCAGAAATAAGAGACAAAGGAAATAAGGGACAAAAGAGGAAAGTCCCACAATCGTTACTGCAGCAAGCCCAGCAGTGACTGAAGAATCATCTTCACACCACCTGACCTTGAAGTATTCCAATCTACTGCCAAACATACTACAAACAGGCACAAGTTTACTTCCGTGTGTAACACCATGCAAACAATTAGTATGGGTGATGTCAAAACTCAAAGCTGATTAGACAAAAGATCCACAATACGCCACCTTTAATTGTTACCCAACACACACACAGCATCTTGTCACGAGACAGGAATGGTGGTCTCCACTTTTTTGTCAACACACAAATTAACCTCTGACACAAACCCAGTGTGCAGTCGCCCCACTCGGTAGGGCAAAGCGCACAGAAAAGGAAGGACGGGTGGCAAAACAAAGCAACCGAGCAGGAACTCGACTCACGCTACGATCCCGGCTTCCTGTGCGTGCAAAGCGACTCACATCAGAAAAGTCAGGAATAGTAACGTCGTCCAGGTCCCTGGGGAGGCCACTGCCGCTGGCCGCGCTTCTCAAGAAACTGGCAACAGAGCTGCAGTTGTCCTACATCGGCCACCAGGGGGCGAAACACAACAACAAAGAAGCCAGACGCTCAGAGGAAGTCTACACTTCTGGAAACATCAAAAGCTTCACTAAAAATGCACATGAGGAAGTGAAACGGTAGACTCTTTATCATTTGTATTATTTCTAGAAGTTTATACAGCTTTACTCTTAGACCGAACCGTCCCTGACTGAAAAGTGCTTAAATGTAACTGTTTTGATTTGGTCAGAGAAAGTAAAGTGAGTTGCATGTATGAAATAAAAACAGCTGGAGATGATTCTTAGCTTGTTTGGCTTAATTTTGTACATTTACAAGACGGACTCAAGTGCTTGTGTTAATAAATGTGCATTTTTCCTTCTTAAATAAAATAAACATAAAAATAAAAAAAGGACAACTACATTAATGACGACATAGTTCTAACAAAAATGCATAGAATCAGATAATATAGTGACAATTAGTAACAATACTTGGATCAAGAGGTACATGTTCCATTTTGCTTCAGAAATTCACGGCTGATAAATCAGTGGACACCAAAACTTTTATTTTATTTTTTTAAAGCAACATTTTAGGGACTGCATCTATAATTAATAAGCCTTAGTCTCTCTGTGGCTACAGGCTTGTGACAGATGGCTCCAATCAGCGACTGTACTGCAGCTCAGTGAGCTGCTCGGATGACCACAGGCGCTGGACTTCTACTATAGATCTCATAGTTACTTTAAACTGATGTCCTTAATGTCTGTCTCTGCCTTTGTGAAGCGCTATGAGATGACTTGTTGTTGTTAATATGCGCTATACAAATAAAATTGAATTGAATTGAATTGAATTGAATTGAATTGAACTTGCAGGGAGTTCAGCTTCAATTCATGATTCACTAACATGATACCAAGCTGTAAACAACCTGCAGCTGCAGTACAGTACAGGTTTACCAGGAAATACCTGCTGGAACTCTCCACAATGTTTTCATCTTGGAGAATTGTGCACACCATGCCAACTCTGAGTCACTGAACACAGACTCATTGTGTATCTACTTCCTCCTCTGTCCAACAGTAAAATCATAAACTAAATGTTGTGGTCTAAGTGCATGAAGGCTCTCAGCATATTCAGTGTTGTCTATACAAAACATGTGGGTTAATCCAGTTTAAACCTTGGGAACCAGGATGTCTGGTGAAGGAATGCTCACCACTGGGCTAGCGCGGGCTGAACTGGCCCTGCTGGAGGCTCTGGAGCCGGAGCTGCGATAACTAGTGTGTTCTAAAGGCTGCAGACAAAGAGATAGTTACGGTTTTGTCACCAAAAAGCATGCAAACACCCACGCTGATGACACTGCTACCTACATATGCAATCTAAATCACGACCTTAGTGGAGTAATAATGTGCATTTAGTGTCCAACACATAAGAAAATAATGTCTTTGAATACTTAAGACTTAAATTAAACCATATCAAGAACCAAAAGAACTTCCATGCAGCATCTAAAACCAACAGAGAACAAAACAAACACGCAAGACCCACCATAATATTTCCCCACATATTTACGCTCAGATTAAATTCATGTGCTCCATTCTTCTAGTTAACTGTAGAGTCAACCCAGACGGTGTTAACATGTCTAACTTTTTATGATTAACCAGGTCACACACGTGCATCACACCCAACTGCACCACGATTCCGACAAACTCTTACATGGGAGCTGGAGCCGAGGACTCGCCGTGACCCGCTGCAGAGGCTGTCTTCATACAAGGAGCTCTGCACATGTGGCACGTCACACACACACATAGAGGGTAAGAAGTGTGCTCAAGCTTCAGCAGGTTGAGCCACAAGATGTACATTTCATTAAGTGCTTTTCTGCTCCAGTGAAAAGCTGTGACTGCCCTCAGTGCCTGATGTGTCTTTATTTAAAACTCAAGTACACAGAACAGTTGCATCAATGAGTGAATTGAAAAAGTGATGAAGCCTTTTTAACTTAAATGTCAAATCCTCTGCTCTAGAGACAAACAAGGAGAGTTTTAGTTAAACATGCTGGTGTGGATGAAGGATTGCAGGTGTCAGTTAACGCTGAGTGTGGCAGGGTAAGCTGGAAATGATGGGAACCAACCCTACGATAGAGCTGCTGGGTGATCTGACTGAGTGACCTGTAGAACTACAGAGAGGGATGGAGCGGAAAGAGAGAATGATTTTGCAAGAGAAATGACAGCAGACAAACAAAAAGAGCGTACATCTTTGTATTCTCTTGACTTTTGACTCCTCCGAAGAGGGTTGATAATTAGGGGAAAGCCGCAGGAATTAAACTGTTCCTTCAAATGTCTGGCGTCTATCTGCATACAGACCTGATAACCATTGAAAGTTGAACCTGGATTCCTGGAAGAACTGAGGCTGTACATGTCGGAAGAGGCATAAGAGGCCTGAAATGAGGAGATGGAAGCCAGAGAGAGCGATGAGCCAAGATAAGGAAGGAAATGAATGAGCACAACAGATAGGAGGTTTACAAGAAGCATTTAGAAAGTCACCCAGCTTTTAACATGTCGTTATACTACGCAAGAGTGCAGAAGTGTGAGTGCAGTGTAAGTTTGCAACTTTGGAGCAGCCTTGCTAAAAAAAAGTTCAATAGTAAGTACACAAAATTATTTCTGGAAGTCACAAATGCAGCTTGTCTTCAATGCAAAGACGAAAAACAAGGCGTAAACAACAACATAGAGACCCAGACTCCAACACCACAATAAGAAATTCAAACTACATGCACCGAAAAGTGTTACAAAAACGTTAGCAACACGCTCCACTAGAAATATTCCAGTGAAAATATGCAAAACCTTCGGAGGTTAATACAGTAACAGCTAACAATCCGGCGCATTCAGTTAACAGAGATAACTTTAGACAGAGCGTGCAACAGGCTTTTGTGACAGCCGACCAGTTCCAGTGCAGTGCCACCCACCGGCTGCAGGTCTAATCTGGATGCTCGAGACACTCGGCTGTCATCGCCCAGCATGGAGCTCTGAGAGGCAGGGAGCACAGGTGACAACATCAAAACGCTGCAGGGGCAAAACCTAAAGTCCTCTCATCCTTCTGACGGCACACAGATGTGTTTTTAACAGCACTGAGTTCAGCTTTATGGCGAAGTGTGGCTGTTACTTTGAAAGTTACTGCTATAAATGTTAGGTCTAAATCAAAGTGAACATGTTGCTTACAGAGATTTAGTGAAACACTTGTCAGGGGCAGAAACAATACGATCATTACTGAGTGATGTTTTCAGATCACGTAAGATGAGATCATATGCGGAAAGTAAATGGAAAAAGTTGCTGACTTTTATACATTTACATTTTATAATTCAACCAGGATTAAACAATTTCATGTTGCCCATTCTTTCAGTTGCTTTAACTCAGACTTTCATCTATTGCTGCCTTCTACAGGCCGTCAAAATCAAATCCTGATCTCTTTTTTTGGCGTCAACCAATTACCAGCTTGGCCGATTATCAGATCTGATATTCAGGATTTTTCATATTATCTGCAACATCCTCTTTTCTTACAAAAAAAAGCTAATTTAAAAATGGCTCTGAAGCAGCTGCTCTGAGGTCTGTACTATGTCCCATCCAGAGCACTGACTGGTTACATGTCACATCAACACTGATGCTAAATGCTAAAAAGTCCTTTTTAAATCTACATTTATAAAGAAAAGTATTTATTTATCAAATCACTTTGATTACTAATAACTGGGATTAGTAGTGACCCTAAAAACATACCTGTCAAATACTCAATTAAATCATTTTGGACCAAACCAGTGTATAAAAGAAAAGGGAATTTGGAAATGTAGTTTCTTTTAAGACATATTTTTCAAGGACCAAGCAATCTCTAACGGCTGTAATTACAGACTGTGATTGTACTTGACAGTTTTTGTGTAACAGCAAAACATCAACACTGTCAGGTTACTAACGTCACAACAAATCACTGAGCTTTTCTGTCTCCATCCTGCAGTTTGCCTTAAAACAACCATGACCCTCAACACACGCCATCTGGTTCATCAAGCCAAAAGCAAAGTCACACATTGTTCTAATGAGGCAAAAAAAAAAAACTAATCATAAAGCTAATTATAAAGAGGATCGGAGGTGGCCAACACGCACCGTCAGGTCTAGCCTGGAGGAACGAGACACTCTGCTTTCATCGCTGAGTCTTGAGCTCTGCAGCACGACAGAGAGGAGAGTCACGGGTGACGTAATGCAAACTTTCTTTCTCCAAGTGGTACCATGCTGTTAATGAATGTAAACAGTCCCGTACTCTACAAGAGACCAAACGCCCCTACAGTCAGTGTGGCACACAGCTACTAACCCTGCTGGACATGACGCTGTAATCGTCATCATAGCCGTTTCTCTGCGAATAAAGAACAAGAATGAGACGCGGCGTGATCATTTCTGGCCACATGTGTGCAGGTATAGTTTGAGCTTTCGCATACATCTCTGTCTTTGTGCTTATGCTTCTTCTTTTTCTTTGACTTCTTGTGTAAGGAGGAGCCCTTGGAGGGAGAGAAAGAGGAAGACGACAGTGACGTATAAAACCCGAGTTGTCTGGAAAAGTGCCGAAGCAAAACCAAAGCAACACACACGGTACATGCACGGACACATTTAGCCAAATATCCAGATTGTGCTATTTTTCCACAAGGAAAGAAAAAAAAAAAAAAACAGCACTTAACACTGAGAGCCATAACAGAGCCTAAAATAGTGCAGACTGTGTTTTGGTTGGAGAAAGATAGCTCTTAAACACACTGTTCTCTTTGACAAAAATCAAATCTATCACCAAGGTAGTCAATGTTCCTGTACAACAGTAAAAACAAGTCCTGGGCCAAACATAATCACCTGACAGAAGTTAGTCGGCATGTATTTGCTTTATTCTACATCTTGGAACAATTTATCTGATTATAAACGATCTACAAGACAAACCATAAAAGGCATTGCTTCACTTGCATCCTATATATAGTTATAGGTAGAACATAAAACACGATGTGTGCCATGCAATGTATGATAAAGGGAGGCGTAAGATGTGACTCCTTCTGTAAATCAGTCATTTCCTTCTGTTGTTAGTCCAAAAACAATCCGTCCACAACAAATCTTTAAGGGGGTTAAGAACCAATCCAGAGTCTGTGTTTCAACGACCCTTACCCCTCCTCCATAAGCCCCGACTGCATCGAGATCCGACTGTGCGAGAGACAACAACACCGTCACCAAAAAAGTACCACCCACACTGACGGCACCTTGTTAGGTTGCCAAGAACAGACACGCTGCCTCCACATCAGCAAAGGATCAGGAGGACAAGGTCTGTCTTTGTGAATCGAAAAGCATAAAGGTATGCGATGACGACTGAGAGAGGGTTTTTTGAATTTTTATTACATGTGCTGTTTGAGTGATACTGACCCTGACGCTGCCCCGGCTTCCCACCGACATCCGCTCATCTTCGTCTGAGAGCTGCGTGAGAGGACGAGAGATTGAAATGGATGGTTAGGGTTTTGAGAATGGACACAATGTACGACTTACGTCACCGAGAAGTGGATTCTGACAGGAGGCCTCTTGCTGCAAAGACAAGTGGCTCCAGTGACTCATTCAGTCATTTTCTCGGAGACCTTTTCCTTTTATTGGGATCATCTTCTTACGTACTTATGATAGTTACAGAAAAATAGCAAACCACAGCTAAAATGTACTGTGGCTTTATTCAGTGCTTTGCAACGTTTCTCAAGATAAACATGTCTGTGTGACAGCCGGCAAGCAAAGAGTTGTAACTTTATAAGAACATGAAGGTATATTTCTAAATATACATATTGAAATCCAGCAGGGTCTGTCTGTAGAGTAATCCACATAAAGACCTCTCTTCTGCTCAGATAACTGTTTCACTATGTGCGATAAATGGTCTGTTGTCCCACTACAGGTTTTTATGTGCTGGATATAGCAACCAGCATCTACATACTGAGTTGCTCCCCACTGAAATTCCTCAATGTGATGTGAATATTCCCCAAATGACAGAAGACAAGATTACAGAGGAAAATGCATGAGGAGATGGAAACAGAGAGGGAAGACTACAAACCGTTTGTATCCGTGAAGAACGTGAGTATCTCTCACTGTCCTCCTGGATGAGGGAGGAAGGAAGGAAGGGTGAAGATGGAGACAAGAGGGGAGGAAGGATGTGAAGGAGGAGAGAGATGTCAAAGGTCAACGAGATGACAAGATGGATGAAGAAGAAGAAAAGCGGTCGCTTGTGTCACACTGTTAAAGTCAGTCTCATCCAGTGGTGTCCAGTCCATTAAGTCATTCTAAAAATAGTAATTAAAATCTGTTTTCATTTCATTTAAGGCGGTGTTATTATTAAGGTATTATCAGTATGCAATCAGGGATGGGTTCAGATATCAGTTCCCTTCTGGATCCTGTTTCAAGGTTGTGAAGCTCTGCTGGCAACACATTCTGCAACAAATCTTTCAATTGTGATCTTTCTAAGACTCTCATTGGCCTATTTCTGAGTCTATAGGCACCTGCAAAAGTAAAAAAAATAAAAAAAGTCCTTTGCTAAGGTATTCATTTGCAGTTCTTGAAGTTAAAGTAAGAATACAAGAACACACAGTATATTATATTTTAAAACCCATCAGATTCTTCAACCTGCAGCAGTCCAACAAGTTTAGCTAATGTTAAGTGACTTGTGCAGGTAGAATGATGTGAGATTCATTGAGTTGATATTTGCCGAGCGACAAAGTAGAATAAATAACATTTCTGCTTCTGCACCTGCAGCACAGTGCTGAGCAAAGGATGTTTTCCAGTGCATGAAAAATAAGTCAAGACCCTCTCTGTGGACATATAATACTGAGCAAAATAAAAATAGTGCATGCTTATTTCACATGTCCTCATTCCAGGAACCACGTAAAAAGATTAAATGCAGGATTTGGGTTCAGATTGGATGAGATACTATTGAACCTGATTGCCAGTATGTAGACTTTGTTGTATTGGACTTGACACCACAAGAGGAGCAACAGTTTGAGCTTAATAGTTTATCTGAATCCATTTGTACAATGCATGTGCTATCCCAGGACACTGACAAATCTTTTCCAAGGCCTGGCATAAAAAGGACACTTGCTTAGAATCAGCCATGCCTATAAATCCACAGTTAACCAGTAATCCAGCAAACACACAATTAGGTTCAACCGCATGCCAAGAGTGTCCAAATGAACGTATTGTCATTCAAACTGTTGTTGACACCACACAGTTTCATGAAGTCATATCACTTCCTGTTTACTTAAAACACACCGTGGTTAATCACACTGCAAGTCACACATACCGAGTATCCTCAACCTCTCTAATGATCAGGGACGACTAAAACTAAGTAACTCGGAGGGCGCACTCAACACAGCAAATCCCATGCAAGTCTCACACCGACGGGGCAGATGGTCATGCTGATTCCGAGCCAAACGGCCACCCCGCTCCTCTGAATAAGTGGATTATCATTAATGGCCAAGCTTTGATTCATTATAATCCCTTATTTTCCAAAAAAGGCTTAACGGGAATTATCTGGAATTCAAAGGCAGACGCTGTGAAAGCCGACAGGAAGTACGGCTTCAGAATATGTACGGAGGCATGCGCTGAATTTAGTACACGATTAGATATGTTTTCAGTGTTGTCATCACAGCACACAAACTGTACCATCCATTGTTCAATATCTCCCCATTTGCTGTCCGATCGGTCGTCTATTTTGGTGTTCAGGCCGTAGTATTTCTAAGGAGAGATGAAAGATGAGGGCGAGAAGAGGAACAGGTCGCAATTTGAAGCACACGCTGGAATTAATTAGAAAACCATGCTAGGATCAAATAACGTCCGTGGTGGGATTGAGGAAGAGCAGGCCTACCTTCTGCACCTGAAAGATCTACGCCGATGAGCAGCAGAGGGCAAAGGTCGGAAAATAGCAAACATAAAAAAAAAAACAGGGGAAAAAATGATCAGCTTCGGAGGAAAATGTGATCGACTGATATGAAGTTGAAACACTGAAATGTGAAAAGAGAGATTGCATGCAGAGAAAACACGAGAGGCCCCTCAGGAATGCAAAGTACCTGCTGGGACCGACAGGAACTGACCCAAGAACAGAAGTTCACTGGAGAATTAAAGACCTATGAGATTGGATTGGCAGGCATTTTCCCATGGGTCTTTAAGGCTGGTGTTAAAGCTGTAGATTACCAGGACCGCAGAGTAACTTCCATACAGTAGATGTTTATAGGAGTGCATGTACCACTAGTTACTGTCCACAACACACAGATTTAACAAGTTTCCTCCATAAATCGGCTTTTTCCTCGAGTACACATATAGGTTGCGATGCATTTTCTTAGGAAACTTGGGTCACGTGGAGAAAACAAATAGCCTGTTAGTGTTGTGCCGTTCTATAACAGTGTGGAAGAGAGGTCTGCACTGGGACACAAACGTTGCTGGATTTTAAATTTGCTGCCGGTGGGAGCAGCCAGTCAAAGAATAAAGTGTGGGTTTCACGATTTAGCACCAACCAGAAGGATGGAGTCAACAAACGAAGAGGAAAAGATTAAAGTGGATTTTCACAATCCAAAAGTAAAGCAAGGCAAGTCTGACATGTGGATAGATTTCTCAGCTGTTACTGACAAAGATGGAAAAGAAACTGGAAAGTACTGCAAGTTTGCATCCTTTGTTTTGAGGCGACATACCTGCTCGTAAAGTACACTTAAAAAATAATGTTTGGGCTCAACAAAAAAGATGAACACAACTGTATGCATCAGTGTTCTGAGTTGTGGAAAACAACAAACCACAATGACTTAGTGGAATTATGATTTTCTTACACAATCAAAGCCATTTTTAAATGACAGTTTAATTGTCTAAAAGTGTCCAGGCATGTTCGGAGAAGGGTGGGGACGTCAAATACTGAACTCAAGGCTAATAAAAATAAAGTTATCAAGCCAATTTTATTAAGCTACTCAACTCGTATTTAGTTTTAAACCAACTAATGCATTAACTTTCGTTTAAATTACACACTAAGTTAATGCAATTACCAACACTATCCTCTAAACCCAACCCAATAAAATAATGCTTGCAACTTTTTTCTAAATCAGCAAATCAGAATCTTGTAACCACATATTTAAGAGATGGGAATGGGTCCCTTGGGTTACTTTTTAAGACAAGGGACTTCTTCCAGCACATACTAAACAAGATAATATTGAGAAATGTGTACTTGCATTCAAACGACTTCAAGAACCAAACTCAGTGGTTTAAAGCCACTATGATGTCCAAACATAAACCCAGCCTGCTGAGCACCACGAGGAGCCAGAGAAACCTCACATCAACCAGAATATTAAATTTAACTGTCTGAATCCCAAAACCCGCCAGGAGGTTCCAAAGTCATACTCGCACACTTTTAAGAATAACACGATTTATCAGCGGAAGGAACTGAAAACGGAAAGAACTGTCTGATTTCAACTTTCCGACAGTCCTTGAACTAATCATGCATTACTTTTTTTAACCTTTTCTCTAAAAAAAACACAATCAAAGCTTAATCATCATCACTTTATTCTACTTGGCAACAAACGGATTCTTTAAAAAACTAAAAATTTTGTGCTTCTATGCACAACTATGAAGCTGTTGGTGATTCAGCCACAACCAACAGACACACGACAAAAATTTGGGGACTTTTCACCTGTTCTGTGTTTACATCGAGCAGACAGGAGGAAAGTATGGGAAAACATCTATAGTGGAGCAGAGTCAACTTTTTTTTTTCTCCAATATTTGTAACGCCTCATGGGCACTTTGAAAGATTCCATTTTTTAAAATTTTAGATAAAATAATCAAATATTTAATAACAAATAATATAATAATAATTCATTTTATTTGTATGGTGCTTTTCAAGAACTCAAAGACGCTTCACAGGATAAAGCAAGAACAGCAATAAACAATAAAAGCAACTAATACAAAAGTAGACAAGACAGAAATACAGCAAGCAGATAAAAACAACACAAGATATCAAGATAAGGCTTAGGTGGGAAAAGCAGGGCGGAACAGGTGAGTTTTTAATTTAGATTTGAATATTATTGGGTCTGTGGTGTCACGGATATGTTGTGGGAGAGAGTTCCAGAGACAGAGAAGGCCCAATCCCCCCCAGGTTTGGTGCTTGGTCCTGGGAACGATCAGGAAGTTGGAATTAGCAGAGCGGAGGGTACATGAAGGGGTGTAGGGGTGGAGCATATCTTGAGGCAAGACTTTGTGGGAATTTTACACTTTTTTTAATGATTTATGGCATCATAACTGTATCATACTGCACAGAGTAGATTTTCTCTCTGGTCTCTCTACTAGCCATGGCTGTGTTGTTTCCATAGAGGTGCAGGACTTCTTATTGCAATCCACAGTGACTACAAAGGTAACGGGAGCAAAGCAAAAAAAAAACACCCAGAAACTGCTTTGAGTTCAGAGGGTCAAATGGATGAGTTAGGACATTTTAGAAAATCAAACTTTTGTTTACGCATCTGTTTGTTAGCAGAGAGTTTGATGAGAAGATTGACAGTTACCTACAGCCAGCAGCTGATTAGCTTAACTTAGGATACAGACCAACAACAAGAGGTAAACAGCCAGTCTGGTTCTATTCAAAGGTAACAAAATCTGCCTACCAGCAAATCCAAGCTCACTAGATTACAGAATGCATCTTGTTTATTCAGCACAAAAACGAGCAAATGCGAGATTATTTCTGGCTTGGGTGACGCCAGAAATGACGCCATTTAAAGATTAACAGGGCAAAGCATAAAATCAAATCAAAACTCTAATATTTCACTTCGGTCTAACGTTAGCAATGTGTCTGTTTCTGTGCTGGTGTACGTGCCGTCGCTGTGGTTTGAGGAAGTGCACAAATTACAGCCAATTAAAGGAGTTTCACTATTTTGATAAATGCATAAACCGGCTAACCTTGGCTGTATTTGTTTGGCTGAGGAGTGTTATTGTCATGTTCTGTGTTTGTATACTCAATGGAATGTAAAATCACGAACGGAGATCTGTGCAGGCTCTGTGATGTCATGCTTTGTTGTATTTACGGATGTAACCGTTCATAGACGCAAACGATAACGATCGGTTTTCCTTAAATTCTCCACAGACATCTTTCTTTCACCAGTGCCACCAACACGTTTGCTGTTAGTATTAAAAGCTGCCCATGCGGTGCCCCTTTGAGCCTGGCTAAAAAACCTCCGCAGACCAAATCCAACACCCTCTGAAAACACACCCCACCCTCACAGCTGCACTTTCCCTCACAATCGTTCCAGAACTTTAATCCAGATTTACAACCACAGTTTCCCTTGTGTGCTTGCCCAGTAAATGGATTGGTTGTTGTTTTTTTTTGCTTTTGACTTTCAAAAATCGATTTGCAGACGGCCTTTTTGTCCGCTCCATCACCTCAGTAACAATGGCACTCCTAGGTAATGCGGCCTCTTGCCCTCACTGAATTTATAGTGTGGCTGAAATGGAAAGTCGCATCCTTTAACCGACAAGCACAAAGATTTGCTGTCTAGTCCTGAAAACAAAGTCATCCTAAATTCCATGAAGGTAAAACGGAGTTGTGAAGGCCAGATTTATTCATTAAACATCGCACACACACTCCATAAATGGTGAGGGGTGCCAGAGAGCTCTGATACATTACAACTGTTGGCAGTGTAGAAACGCATTACAGTTTCACAGTATAAGCAGCCATAATGTAGTGCACGCATTTTTCACAACGCCCTCTGTATGAAGCTTTATCATCGTCTGCATGTGCTTCATAAGCTCTGGCTTTTTCAACTCGATTTGACCTTTGACATCTTCCAGCAACATAATTAATTACAATAATACAGCCAATCTATTACTACATTAAACAGAACATTTTCCCCAACAGCTCTGAAATGAGAGACTTAAGATCTACAAGACCATAATACGGTCCAAAAATGATCAATGCACGATCTAATAGCAATCAAAAACTGACTGGAAGGATCTCGTCTGCGTACTTATCTCTCATTACGTGTCTGGACATCGTATTAGCAAGTGAGCCACGCACCGTCATAAGCCCATTCATCAAACGAGTTACACAATCAGCCTACATGTCTGCGCCCAATTTCATTCGACTCACCGAGCTCCCCTTCCTAATCGGAGGGGTTCTTGGGCGCCCGGTGAGGGCTGCCCTCAGCCCCCTCCCTGTCAGCCGCCGCCCGGCCGTCCTGCCGCCCTCAGGGAACCAGGAAAGGCTGCATCCTTCGGCAGTCAGCAGGTAACACCGCGGCCGGTCATGTAGGCAGGATCACGGCGAGACGGGACGCTGAGGTTTGAGCTCTCTGTTTCTGTTTGCTGCTGTTAGGCTTCCGCTAATAATCCACCTCTAAGTTGTGTCTTCAGTGTGTGAGGAAACGTCTGAATGTCCCAAAGGTGGCCGCGAGCGCACCAACCCATAGCTCATGTCAACAATACGGCAACGACAACAACTGCTCCGCTGCAGGCTGGACCAGGGAGCACAACCTGCTAAGCTACTTTAGAACTCGGCTAAAAGGTTTAAGGGACACGGACGCACACACACACACACACACAGACACACACACTCACACAGACCAGACTCGGCTTAACTATGACCCCTAATCCAGTGCATATGACTGGTGCAGCGTTCGACTAACTGTACTGTATGTAACTTTTTCAACTCGACAAATCAATTTCCATATTAAGTTAGATGCAGATGCAATGCAGAGATGTAACCTACAGTACACAATCTGATTGGCTGAGCTCTGTAAAATGTCACTCAAAGGCATATCTATCAACATACCAATGAACTTAACTCTATTTAATTCCATGGCAGCCATTACATCCTAGTTAATGATCTTTTTTATTTGATCCTGAATTGCACAGCACTTTGTACATTCACCTTCAATGCCAGCTTTATAGATTAATAATTGATTACCCTTTACAAGTAATGATTGAAATATTACTGCAGCGGTTTGCAGATACATGTGATGCACGTTGCTATAAATAACTCCAGCCATGTGTAACAGTCATATGTAGGAGCATTTCTACGTCCTTTTATGGGGAACTGTGGGAGTGGAAACAAAGCTCATCTCCACAACAACTGAGATTTAGAAAAACAGAATCAAATGTGCAGCTTTGTAAATTTTGCAAGAAAAACACATACGTGGGTACACACGGTCGTGCATCTGCACAATTGTAAGCATGTGGCCCTCAGGTTCGCTCCCACAGGGTGCAAACCAGTAGTCTAGCCTCATGGTTGGCAAGTAGATGCCTCTTCCACTTGCCTTACAAAAAATGCCCATGAGCTAATGTGGAGCCCTGTGGTGTGTGTGTAGGAGCTGTAGGGTTGTTGTTTGGGCTTACCACCTATGTTTTGACTGCTTAATAATTGAGTGCTGCTGGATTGTCCAGTATACCTTAATGGGAAAAGAAAGAAATGTCTTTGTCTCTCAGGTCCTTTTGGTATCTCTGGTTTGATTAGGACACTGTGAGCAACATGTTAAATATAGCACGACTTTATATTAATATTCGATTTGCAGGGTTTTTGCATCAGTCCAGTAAACGAATGAATTTTCACTATTAAAGTCCCACAGATGTAGTGTGTATCAATATCATATAATACTACAGATGCAGGACTTTGACCATTTTCATTATTTCTTGTTCTGCTTTACACTTTTAATTTTGCTGATTATTCATCTGGTTGGATTTGATCTAAGTTCAAAATACAAACAGATTAAAATCACACATATAAGACAAAAAAAAAAGTCAGTAAATCACAAATGATAAGATGAAAGTGCGGAAAGTTTGGAATTTTTGCTTGATAATTACGTTTATTATTGTTCAGTTTATGAACTGTGGCAGGTCGAGACAGATTAAAACATGTTCCAAACTATTGTGGTACGTACACTTTTTCTTTTGCCACACCGAGCACTAAGGAAGATTATTATTACACCACAAATAAACGTTGACCTGAGAAAGTCCGGGGATATTGTGGTCCGAAGGCACCTGGGTTACATGTAATTACAGGCTTAGGGGGTCTTAACTTCAAAACAAGCTTTGGACACGGACTCTAAACAACTTTGCAGAGTTCAATTTGAACAGGTGAGAGGCAGACGTCTGTTTGTGTGTTTGGGATTACTTCATGCTAAGAATAGTGGTCTAGGAAAAGCGCGACTCCCCACGGTTCAGATCAGAGGTACTAAACAAGACAAAGAAAAACTCCTGGAACACACGGCTGACCTGCAGTCAAAACACACAACCGCATAGCGACATTTCAGCGCTACACCTGATTCAACACAAGTCCGAATGAGGTGCCAAACAGTGGCGCTGCTGTAGGTCCAGTTCAGGAGGTTTCTGTGTCTCTTTAGTCGTTGCATTTACTTAAACCTTTATGGAGGGACATCTTAAATCAAAAAGTACCACACTTTGTATACTGCTGAAATACTGCCCATCTGATCAAGGCCTTCTAATTTGTGGAACTCAAAAAATGTCCTGTTACATTATATACTGTCTGCAGTTACCCAAAGAGGCAGGGCTACATCAAAACAACTATGACCAAAAAAAAAAAAGTTTCCAGGTGAAACTGTCCTTCCAAAAGTGTGTCATACAGAAAACATCCATCCATCCATCCATTATCTATACATCGCTTCATCCTCACTAGGGTCGTGGGGGGCTGGAGTCTATCCCAGCTGACTTAGGGTGAAGGCAGGGGACACCCTGGACAGGTCGACACAGAAAACACAATCTAAATAACATTTTGCTTTGGAAGAATTGGTTAAAACGTAAGAGTTATTAGACGTACAGTAGCAGGTGTGCTAGCGCTAGAGCTCTAATGAAATGTATGACTTGATAAGCTTCCATTAACACTTTTGGAATATTTTGTCAGTTTGGCCCAAGATGAACTGGAAAAGGTTCAATCCCTTCTTGAAAGAGTAATTAGAGAGCCTCTTTGAGGACTTTCTAAACCTCAGAGTGGAAAGATGCAAAAATACCGACATTTAACCACGTTTTTAGCCGTTTGATGCTTCAGAAACCAATAAAACCTTTTAACTACGGACTCACTAACTTACGGTATGTTGCTGTATTTTCAGAAACGCTGCTTTAACACATATTGAAATTCAGTTTGTGGAACAATAACGTCATTTACTTTAAACTTTCCTCTACAAAATAGTCAATCATCTATGTGAATTTGGGGTTTTGGAATTTACTCTTGAGCATTAATAGTAACTTAAATAAAACCTACTGGGGGATTATCAATCACACTATGGCACAGAACTGACTGAAAAGGAAGTTGAAGGATTTACATTTGTACATACATGTGTTACTTTCAGTTTTACATACCTTTTCAGTACTTTCTATGAACAACAAAGACTGCGCTGCTCAGTGCCCGCGAGCGCTGCGGTTACAGGACACCGCTGACCTCTGACCCACAGGATCAAAGAGTCGCAGCTTAAGAGCATAAAGTAACGTTGACAGGAAACGCTGCAGGTCCAACTTGAAAGTGTTGTACCAACATGACTGCTGAAATCCTGTTGTTATTTAGGGCACTGCATTATTAGGACATGGGGCAAACAACGGCGCCGAGTGTGACGGAGGTCGATGTAAGAATTCCTCACAACCGTGCTCAACTTTAAGTCCAACAATTTTAAACGATTATTCAAAAACCGGCAAATATTTTATACAGTCATGCAACCACAACTTTATTTAACATGTGACCTAATTCGAGGGACTTGTTTTTGCCACAGTCCCACCGTAGAGAATAGTTTTCCAGTCAACCATCATGTACATCTGTATCCTGGCTTTAAATTTGAAAGTGTATTTTGAATTGTGTACCTCTTTCTGCTGTCGCTCCAGCTCCTTCATCCGGATTTCTCTGGCCTCTGCTCTGGCTGCCCTCTTTGCTGCCAGCCTGGCCTCGGCCTGAGGGGCAGACGAAGAAAGAAACAGACACACCGGGTGAGAAAATTGAAAAGAAAAGAGAAGTGAGACTTAGTTGGGTTCAATTGGGGCACATCTACAGAGCTATAACTGCTGACCACACGTGTGAACAGAGGTCCAGTTCCTCGACAGAGTTCCTATGAGACATTGCAAAGTTCTCACACATTGCAGAGAATAATTCCGACATGCAACTAAAGATTCTTATCACAGGTGGCCACTCTCCGTGTACCTTATACTGTGCTATGTCACACTCTGACAATGATGAACTATAAGCCATGTACAAACAGAATATCAGGTGTCATTTCAACTAGATTCAGTGGACTTTATTTAGGAGTACACAGTGTTGTTGGAATCCTAAGACCGATGCAGACATGTAGTCACAACAGTGTGTAAATGTGTGGATGTATTTATATTTCTGTATTTGAGGGACTTGCCTTTGCTCCACTCAGCACTCAGGCAAGACCAGGACCTTTTCCTTAAAAGGATCTCTCTTAGAGTGTGTACGGTGGGTGTGTGTGTCTGTGTGTGTGTGTGCGTTGCAGAGAGTGTGTAAGCATTTCCTTCCTCTCACTTTGTGGTAGACAGTATGTAGCTGCAGCCTCTGAGGCTGGGTAACTCCCACTGCACTAATGCATTTCCCCAACGTCAGTCACCATGACCGAGTAACAGGAAAACACAAAGAAAAGAGTCGCTTCCACAAGAAAAGAATGTTCACACACACGCACAAACTCTGTTAGCCACGTCTGCATTCATTTTAAAGCTTTGTGACCTTATAAACTGTATTCTATGTTGCATTGTTGTTTATTTTTAAATCAGCTGCAATGTTCATGTCTACTCTGTTCTTTTGTTAAGTAGCTACAGCTGTGAGCAAAACTTTAGACTTGTACAGACCAGGTATGTTATAATAGAGTTCCCAATTATTCCTGTAGCTTTATTTTTTAGGATGGAACAATGGAAACATGTGCATCTTTGTCACAAAAAGTGCATTTTGGTTCCTTCATAGATTTATTATAGATCTTCTGGAATATGACTAAACCTGCTGGGTCAGAAACATTCACTTAACTGCCTCTTGGTCATTTTATCCTCTATTAGGCACTTCAGGCACACAAGCTTCTGGTTGTAAATGGTCTGCACTTATACAGCGCTTTTATCCAAAGCGCTTTACAATGTGTTTCTCATTCACCCGTTCACACACACATTCATACACCAATGGTGACTGAGCTGCCATGCAATGTTCTGCCTGCCATTGGGAGCAACTTCAGGTTCAGTGTCTTGCCCAAGAACACTTCGACTGTGGAGGGGCGGGGGATCGAACCGCCAACCTTGCGATTGGAGGACAACCTGCTGTACCATCTTTGACAGAATGTGTGATGTTTGTATCATATAAAGTCACACCCATCATCTTATACAATATTCTGAAGGGTTTCATTTTTTCATGGAATATTTTGTGATGACAATGATCAATTTGTCAAACTACATTTAAAATTTGACTTTGTTCAACTTATTTTCTGTGCATAGATTGTATATAAACCTGGAAGAAGTTTCTGTGACATCACCCACAGGTTTCGAAGCTCCCCATGAATAATGCTTTGCTAAAACTCAACGCTTTAGATTATACATTTATTGTGTTCGTTAGCAGGAGTCCACTTAAACATCAACGCAGACATCTCCGAGCCGTGGGCTGTCCTTGTGACGGCAGCCACCTGTCACTCCAAGTTAAATCCAAATTAGCTCCAGAGAGCAGTTTTTGGAAATCATGTTTATTTCTGCTGTAAAGTTTGAACATGGGGGTCTATGGGGACTGAACCACTTTTGAAGCCGACCCCAAGTGGACAATTGAGGAACTGCAGTGCTTGACACTTCTTTGTCGGCTTCATTTTTCAGCCATGAGGGTTGTGGCTTGGCTCTGTCATGCCATTAGCGTCAACGTTAGTAAGCACAGTAGTACTTTCTCAGTTTTAACCTGGTTTTAATCTTATTGAGGCTATGAAACAGAATTTATCATTTATTGTTATCCCTGTTTGATTCTAACATCATCCAGGTTAATCACCCCATGTGTCTTCGATGGCTTCATATAAACAGTCCCTGTCATTTCTGTAGTGATTAACAGGTGTTATTAATATGAAACTTCCCCTCGTGGCTCCTGACCATGTTTAAAATCCACCGTTTACTTTAATTCTGTTTGTTCCGTTATTCATCCGACCTCCAGTTAGCTCCTTAATACCAAGAAACAGGATGTCAGCGTGAATCTTTGCAAACAGGAAGCTCTAAACAGGATTTACACACTTATTCACCTCAGCATGAACAAAACGGCAAACTAATATTTTAGCGGCGTGTTTATCTGTTCAACAGAGGCTAGGCAACCACTTGCTTGCTTTGTTCACTGCTGAGCTGCTTTTATATTACTGAAAGTAAAACGAAGCACTATTTATAGTCTGTCAGCAGGTCGCTCGCTCTCAAAGCCATCAGTGCTTTATTGAATGCCAACAACAAGCCCTGATAACTAACTCTCCAGAATGACGAGTGAGTAGAATCAGCATCAGTAAGAAGAAGCTGCTGTATGTAAAAAGCAAAGTTTATTATTACTATAAAGTGCTAAGCTCAGCAGACAACTTAGATGCTGAACAAACTTCTGCTGTTAATGTAAAATAACTAAAATCTGCTGAAGCATCAATATTCGATTTTTTGAAATTGTATTATTCTCAGTGTGTATTTCCGATTACACCTTACGTTTCACTGTTGAGGCTGATAGAAATATTGATAATTAAGTGCAACCTTACATTTTACAGGTAACAAACTTGTCAGTTCCCTCATGGACAAATGTAGTGATGTTGATTATATATTTCAGAATCAAACTTCTGACTTTGAAGAAAGTAATAAAAAATTATTTTAAAAATTCTCTCTCTCATTATTCTGGCATTTACCGAATAAAAATAATTTTGGTAATCCTAACTGACCTAAAACAGGAGAAGTTTAGTCTGATTTAATGTCAGGCAGTGAGAAAAAAAAAAAGGTTTTATGTCTTTTTATGCAGTGTATTGTTTCAACTGTATATGTAGTGCTCAACAAATTAAAAATAAAATAAATTAATACATTTATTAAGCACTGTGTGTATATATATATATATATTGTTAATATTACACCACTATTAATTTTACCATGTATGTAAGATTTATTGCCTTCCAACAATACGTCATGCCCCCTAACACGTGCTGCCACCTAGTGGTTGCTGTCTTCTCTGTCCCTGGACTCCACAGTGCAGCATTATGCAAAGCTGCGTGTCGAGTTATTCTGATCACAAGTGAAAGAAACCACACCTAACTGTAGCAATGTGTGCAACCAGAAGTGCAACAGACAGCCAACTGTCTGTCAACTGACTGACACCACAGCAGCAACGCTCCTTCTACAACATCTAGTGTGCATTGTTTTCTCCTTGAGCTGGAGTTATGTGGCTCTGACGTCTGCAGAATGATTTAGTCCAAAGATGTTAGAACAGCAGGCTTGTTGCTGCTTCAGTAGAGATGCTTTTTGCCCTGCGGTGAGTTGATGTTGTACTTAGCACCTCCTGCATATGAGGACATTCCTGTATAAGAAGAAGGTCGTCCTGAGAAAACCTTGCAGCATTACATGAAACACCTTAATTAGAAAATTTCAAGTAAAACCACAAAAAGCTCTAACAAACAGCTGATGCTTTAGAAACAGTCCTTACTGACTGCATGTGTCTCATTCACTGTATTTCCTTCTTCACATTTCTTTCTTTGATGCACACAAAACCAAAGCAACACCGTCTTTGTGCTTACTCATTTACACTGAAATATATACAGGGTCTCTCTCTCTTAAAACATTTTATCCTCCATGACCTCAGGGGCGACAAAAGTGCAGTGTCGGAAGAATAATATGACATCAGCCTTTTTGCCTCCAGCAGCATAAACACAGCTCTTGAAAGGCTCCATTACCACGAGGAGCGCCAAGCACTGGTACTTACTTGTTCCGTCTAATAACAAGCTCGGAGGTTAAGAGCTTTCTCTCGTACAGCCCGTAGTTTGTTATAAAGTCGAGCTTCATTCAAATGAAAAACGAGCAAAAATAGAAGTTTTATGGGTAGAGGAATGGACGTCAGCTGATCTGGGGAGGACATATTTTGCATGTACTCCCATGGGTGGGTCATACAGTGCCACATACAATCATACAATGAGAGGCACTAATATAGAAACAATCGTATGCTACAGTAGACTTTCCTGTGAACAGTGTCGAATCCAACTGAGCAGGTATTTTAAAGCCTGGCACCTACCACACATTAACTTTGTCATACCGTCATACTTTTTTTTTTGTCCTAGTTTGTTAAATTAATTACAAAATGTCTGGGGAAATATTAAGAAGACAGCTCCAGCACAACCAACTTCAAAAAAGCCCTCATATGTCAAAAGGTAAACGATACCACTACATTTAGTTCTGAACTGTGTCATTTTATTGGCTATTTCAAGTGTTAAATCAATTCCTCTAAATGAAAACCACTCTGTGTGTCATAGTACAAAGAGAGATCAGTGGGTTAGCGAGGTATGTTGAGCCTGAAGTCTGAGTTTTCAGTGTCACGAAGGTGGCTCTCTTTTAACCTGCTAGATCACCATGGTAACTGATGCCGTGGAGCTAACGTGGTCTGGAGCAGGTGATGTTCAGTTTCAAATATAAATCAGTTGTATGAAGCGTCTCCTTTAAACCAGACGATTCCTTAAATGATGCGTTTTATCTGTACAGTTATAAGCTGTTTGTTAGAATATTATCACTGAATGAAGCCGTATAGTTACGGTATCACACACTGTTAGCATCATGTTGCCATGGGAACCTGAAATGTATTTCGTTAGTGATGCAGAAATCACACAAATGTGTTTTTATGTTTGGCCCTAATCTGCTGTCAAACCCGTTTACTCAGCTGGTCCTGATAGAACACAGATTAGAAAATGGATTATTCTGCTGGTATTTAT